ATCAGGGCACTGTCCCTCATATCAGTCATGTCGTGGAATTAGGGTCTCGTTACGCAGTAGGGATGGAGAGAGAGAGAGCGTCGCGTGATGAGACCAAAAAACGGCTGCGAAGGAGACTACAGTAAGCGTGACACTAATGCAGTTAATTTCTCCTTTTAAAAAACTATTCCCACAACAGCAACAACAGACCTTAAACTGCCTTTGCGTAAGCTTATTTCATATAAATTGGAATGATTTTTTTTACTGTTTGATCAAGCAGCGTGTTACCAAATTGAAAATGGATTTTTGACCTCAAGTGCTTCAGATGTAGATTTATCATAAAGCAAGTAGTGTCATGATGTTCTAAACAAAGAAAACTGTTTGGTACAGTAATTATTTCTTTACTATGTTACTTAATGGAGTTATATTAGATATACAGTTTCGATATTTTTCAAAGATTTCCTATAGCATATATTGACAGCCTGAAAAGTTGAAAGAAATGTAGTTCATGCGACTAAGTTGAAGTCAACAAATAATATTCTCCATGAAAGAAACATTTTACGATTTTGTAATTAAATTGATACACTGATACTCTACTATACTTTTGATCTATAACTAAAAGATGAGTGTGGTGTTGCAGCATGTTAATTGAGTTGGCCCTAATTAAATGCCTTTTCGATCAATTTCCAATTTTCAATGAAACATGTCAATCCTCATAACACGTCGCAAATTCAAGATGCAAGGGTCGTGGGTGGTGTAACAGTAGATGCGCGGTGGGGGGAGAGGTGGGGCAGATTATCAACATCTTGGATTTGTGAGCGGGACATCGAGCGTTATGCTCCATGACTTTGCTGGCGAATTCCGAAGAATATCTCATAAGTCTCTATGCGGAGACGAAACGCTGCATCATACCATCAACGAAATATTTTTCATAAATAAATTTCAGCATGCTCTACTTATCAGAGAAATTTCATTGAATAATGTTGAATCTAAGAACTTTACAATTCAAAAAATGAAGACAACAACTAAACCAAAAATGACACAGGCATACTCGAAGAAAAAGAACTCCGACCAGAGTGCTCCTAATGGGAGTCTAACCTACGACCTTTCGGGTAGTGCTTGAGCTTATGTTATGGTTGTTTTTTTTTTTTACCAGAAATGATAATCATGATAAAAGAAAAAAACAACAACTCTGTGTTACTAAGTAGTCCTTTCTGTACGAGCGTCCCAACAAAGACTAAAAGTAAAAATACCATATAACACAATCTGATGAAAGTCAATGGTTCCATGACCTAGCTCAAGAAGTGTATGTTGTACTTTTGTGTGATATCAAGCACTTTATGAGGATAATTCACGGTCATCTTTTCGCCAATACTCTGTCAATCGGAGAGATTTTCATGTGGGTAGGAGTGGCTTTACTGAAGCTATTTGCCAGCTGGTTAGAGAAAAAAACTGTCCTTAAAGTGCCAATGACACGGAATTTTACTCTTATATGTCGTCGGCCTTATGCTCCGTACCGACTCCGAAGACGGCTGTTAATTACGAACTCATACCACTATTCAAATCAGGGGAAGATAACCATTGAATTCAGCTAAAAAGAAAGCTGATTAAGGGGCCTGTTCCCACACCGTACACAATTGTTTAACATTCTTTTCGGCTGACATTTCTCAAGCGCAGAATGGCGACTTCCTTAATGTTATTAATTTCGCGTTTTGAAATGTACTTATACTCCTTGTCTTTCCACATGACTACGTTTGCACCTTTCTTTTCGCATGAAAATCCTACAAATTGTATCCTACTATCGTATTTTAATAACAGTAATACGTCATTTGTAATAAAGTTCAAGCCCTTTCCTGAGCCGACCGATATCCTGTTGCGTGAACAGTCCGAAACCTCTGGCGGATACTGGTATAAACGCACGCTCGAAGGGGCCGTGTATTCTCCTAACGTAGGTTTCCGAAAATCCATCCCACGAGGCATCAATTCTCCCCTGCCCTCAAGAAAATAAAAGTAGAAACAGAAGCAATGTCACTGTGATAACAGCACTGCAACGAGGTAAATAAAGAAGCACAAATTTTATTGAATTAGATGGTAGCGAATCCAAGTGCTGTGAGGAAGTCGATACGTACGAAATATTCATTTACGATACTGGTGTCAGTTATTTGCCTTTGAGCGGAATGGTAGTATGGCAAAGCTGTAATTAAACTAAATAAGATTTTCACTATCAAAGTCCCTGTTTGAGAGTAACTTGAATCAGATGACTATAAACTCACTCGGTTTGATCGGCTCGACGATCGCGACGATAGCCTCGGCCTTTGCGATCCCTAAGGAAAGGAGTAACTTACAGTGAAACTGCTCGATGACTTCTTGACTCGTGATACAGCTGATTCTTTCGTCAAAAGTTGGGTTTTGGTTTGAAGGTAGCAAAGCTTGTCTTGACTCATGTGTCTTTATTGACTTTTTAAGGAGGCCGTTAAGAAATCCTAAAGTTTGACATTTTTAACTCGTGAATTGTGCGCATGCGCAAGAGCGAGTTATAGATACGATGTGGGGAAGGGAATTCGCTCGCTCGCTCGCTCGATTGGTCGATTCCTGTAAACTTTTTTTAGATTTTAGGCTTTTGAGTGCATTTTATAGTTTTTGGCGAGCAATAAACAGACGAAATGGCGACCTTTTTTGCTAAGAATAGTGGTGGGGTGAAAAAGAAGCCAATGATAATCTTAAAAGAGTTTTTTTTTTTCGTTTTAGTTTCAACAAGCGGCGCCAGCGACTGGCAGGCATGCAAGGATTCACACTGAAATAACAGAACAACCTTCGTTTTTCATAAAATTGTAATTTACAATCCTTGAACTTGAAAACAATCCGAAGATTCATTGAAAATATCACTTACTGCGAAGCGCTCGGAGTTTACAGATGTTCAAAAGCTTTTTCTGTTGTAGCGTGAGATTGAGGACAAAATTGATCATTACGTTTCGTCGCGTGTGTTTTTCCTGTGTGAAGCAACAAAAGATGCCGGCGACTGACGAAATAACAAGTTAACACGAAAATCAGATAACACCTAAACAAACAATTTTAGCTACCGATTTCAGTGAATTTTTAAAGAAAAATTTTCTTTTAAGTTTTTAAGACAAATTGAAGATTCCATATACATACAACGTACTAAAATGCGAAAGTTACACACCACGAAATTGATAACTAGGCCTGAAATGAAATTCTATCTTGTTATTGATTATACGTTGCCTAGCACGTGACTTAAATCTACCCAGGCGGAGATCCAAAATGACGGTGGCAGGCTTGGCTTAATTATATCACTCAAAACTCGTTCCCGTTTGTCTCATTTGATAAAGAGGGAATCGTTAATGTTTTCATTCAGACAGTATTGCCTTGATTTTCTAATATTTACAACGAAAGACAGTAAATTTCACTTTTCACCCACCTTTACTTCCAACCTTTTCTTTTGAACCAGAAACAAAAATGATAGACGTTTAAAACACATGACATCATCCACCTTGTCAAATGTAATAGCATGATCATTTCAATTGTAATGCCTTCTTATCCCAACGTTACTTTGTTTCTTTGCTACATTAGCGAACACTGAACTACTGCTCGTACTCTAGATATGACAATCAACCACAAAATTCCCTAAACCAGATAACATTAAACATAATCTAAAAAATCATGTGTCAATTCACGAGTTTGCTCACAGAGCACTTTGATTGGATACGTAGCCGTTTTATCTAGTTTTATCGCAATTTGCTTTCCCTTGCGTTTTTTTTTCTTAATGTCACTCAGCTTACCCTTTATGAGAGCGAATGTGGTTACTTGAAGAGTGAAAGAGCTTTTGTCCTTCTGCAAATCAATAATACATACCTCGGGATATTTCCTCGCTGAAGTAGTTGTTGTATGGCAATGAATAATTTAGTTAAGTTTCACCACACGGCAAAATTTGACTGGATGTCTCTTTTAAGTGACTTTTTAAGTTGTTTATGTTGTCCTAACTTAGAGGTCTATGCATATCAAAATCTTAAACTCGCGGTTGTGTTGCTAAAATGGATTTCATATTTCCTATTTCAAAGTTAGATAGGCCAAAGAATGACTAGATCCACACATAGTTAATTTGGTCAAATTCCCCATTATCTTATTTTAACAAATATTCAGGTATCAAACACTGGCAAAAGCTGAGCTTATTTCAAGCACTTAATCGTTATGCGGGCTGAACATCTCCGCCTGGAGGAACAAGTTTGTTTAATGCCTTCAAAATGCTAAAACCGTCTTTTCTAATAATCTAACATGCAGCGGTTTGATTTTGGAAATCGCTGGGGTTTTATTTCTTAATCTACGTGGTATACTCACGCTGATCACGCTGTCCACCAAGGTAAAAGTGCCTTGTAAAACAAGTTTTGATAAAAAATTTCAAGCAACTTTAAATCAAAAGTTAATTTGTGTTTGGTGCGTTCAAATACAATCCAATGTTTTCGCAAGATTTCTTTACTCGAGAAGATTATGACCCTCTTCAAGTGGAGCAACATCATCGAAGAACAACGGCTGGATAGCGTCGTTTTTTTTCGATAGAATGATTTAAAAATAGTGAATAATGCTGAAGGAGCTGCTATTAGAGGAACTGGCTTGAAAACATTTTTGTGCAAATCCAAACTGACTGCATTGTGGAAATGAAGGCTTAGATCGCTTGTTGGCCAGTTAACGATCACATTGAATGCTACTGAACTGCTCAATTCAGTCCACAAGTAAATCTAATCCAATGGCTAACCAAGTTAATCACGTTTGAAGCAAGTTAGGCACAAAAGAAATAGTGCTTCGATGCAGATTTAACACGTTTATCAGCATCAATTCAATGCGGCCTTCAGTTGGGTCAATTGGAGCGACCTCTGCAGGCGGGTTTGAATAAATACGATACACAGACTGAATTATCATCTTCCCTTTTGTCAATACTCCTTTGGGCAAAGATGAACCTTGGACGGATGACGTCGATCTATTTCGATGGAGTGACCTTAACACAATACACGATCCTGAAGGAGCTGTGGCTGACAGGAAATAACGCGGGAAGTGTTTTTGTAAGAATCCAAAGCTACTGCATAGAGCAAATTGAACCCTGAGTACCCATTGAATAGAACGACGAGTTATTCAGGTAAGCTTAAATAGTAACTAATCGGGTGAGAGTGTAATACAATATTCTGTAAAAGGTACGATGGAGTGCCTGGTACATCATTGCTCAACTTGATCTCGGCGCGATGTTTTGTTTCGCTTTAATTGTCTTTGTCAAATTCAATTTGACACCTTAAATCAGAAGTCCGTTGGTCTTTCTTGAAGCAAGCGAAGGTAACTAACAACTCTCGTTCTCATCTTATTTCAAAGGCGTTGTAGTAGTTCTGAAAGAGGACTAAGAGATCATTCATTCGTTGATTCGAGTTACGTACTATGTTCGAACCAGTCGAATAAGGCTTGTTTCAAACGCCGTGCGGTTACCATCTCGTGCTTGACTTATTGCATTCCTGGCTTATCGACGGCAAATTATTGGAAGCTTCAAATTAATTTTAAGATGGTAGAACTGTAAAACACGCTTTTATTGTCCGACACTCTGCAAATAAGACCTGAATATCGACCCGCTGAGAAACCTGCTCAGTTCAGAGAAACTTATTTTGATCAACTTTCCGTCATAAAGCAGACACACACAGTTGAAAGTTGTCCCATTCTTGTATTTTGAAGCTGAAACGGGCTTGTCTTACCACACATCCTTTTTTATCGACTTTTCGACGATTCCGTGAAATGTGCGGCGAGCGTTATTCTGGATGGGTAGTATGTACGTTGATATAGCTAAATATATTTGTACGTCATCCAGTTGTCTCTGTAAATTTTAATTTGAAGGTCAGCTGTTGAGGTGGGTAGTTTTAGATAATCAAACAAATAGCCTTGTTCAAAGCTAGCAGATGATACGATTCAGTATCTTCTATTTCACGACTTAGATCACTATATAATCAATCGACATGTTATGTCATGTTAAGCTTCAATTTCACTTATTGTTCGCTTCGTTGTTGAATCTATTTTTAGCTTTGTGAGCCGCTTATAGAAGTTCCTGTTTTACCAAGTAAAGGTGAAAAATTAAGTAAATTTCGGTTAACAAGATCTAAGGCAAATTTGTTTAATTTAACGAGACTTTATGCCTATTGAAGCACTTTCAGTTTCACACCTCATTTGTCAGCGTTAACTTATCCATTACAAAACTGCTCCAGGCTCATGTCGTCAGTAGACCATGGTAACTATTAGATTAGCATAGTTATCTCCTCTTGAGCAGGGTCCTTGATCAGTTGTGGGTAAGTTATTAGTTACATAAATATTGAATTTAATAGTGATGTGGGCCCCCTTAGGACCGGTTTAATGAAGAACTTTGGATGGATATTGATCAACTTAATGATTATCTCTAATAGTTTCTGATAGTTATCCATGGAGTGTCTGGTGTAGTCTTGCATTCTCTGATGGTTATCCTCAGGGTGATGTCACGAGTTATGTGACAAAACGTCACGTAAGAGTATCACGTAAGTTACGTAAGGTGTTATTTTGGTGGGAGAAAGAAAAAAAATCAACAGATTTTTCAAAAAAAAATTTTAATATTAAAAAAACCTTAAATGACAAGCGGGACGTGTACTCTTCCCTCATGGAGAGTGCCCAGCTGTGAACATATTTTACCCACACACAGTTAAGCATCATTTTAGCCGAGGAGCGCTGCCCAGGGTTCTAAGCTAACGATCTTGGAAGGGTCGAGATCGATACCTTCACGGGCTTTGTAGCCAATCGTCACCCACTTTCGCTTGCCATCCGCTAGCTTCCTCTTTGATTTTAAACCAAGTGTTCTCATAATCTCGGAAGAGACCTTCAAGAGTTTCAGGAAAATACCAGACTTCGAGAAGAGTAACGATGACGTATCCCTTCTTCATTGCTTTCTCTAACTCTCGTCCATATGTCTCTTTCAACATATTCTCGAAATCCTCCATTAAGCATTTTCGTTCCTTCGTACAAGCTTTTAAGGATTTTTCATTTTTTTCCAGCCCATTCCCCCCCAAAAAAAAGGTTCCGAGCAGTTCTTTATTTTATTTGTTCAGTTTGCAAGGAACACACTGAATGTCTCATGTCAGATCATTTTATTTATTCATCCAATGAACCTTTCCACTTTGCAACTCTTCTGTTTTCTTTGTGAGTCGGTTTATTTCTTCTTTCGGTTGGTCAATGTTATAATTGTTTTACACCAACAATTTGACCAAGTTTTCCAATGTTTCCATTCTTTTGTCGCAGGCAGCTGCAGAAGGCATGAGCATGAAATACACTTATTTGACCATTCTACCTACTTTGTGCATTTGTTTCCAGGTAGAGTTTTAGTAAGTTTAACCATTATATCCAGTTAAACCAATTCAACTGTCTAACAGCAATGGTGAAAGAGCAAAAAGACAAGGTACCGAGCCGCAGCTAAAACTCTTCATGTAGGCAGCTCAGGATATTGCTTGCTTGTCTGTTAAGAGGCGACAGCAGCATTCTCAATGCTGCAGAAGGCTTTGCACAATCCGATACAAAACCCACGACCATACTGAGTCAAGAAACATATCCTTTTTATGAGTTTTCACGTTCACTCAACTCTTTCAAAACGTCATTGTAACGTTTGAGCTTAGCCGTTAAAGGAGATGATAAGGGCACTCTTCATTTCAAAAGTTTTGACATTGATGACATTGATCCGATCACTATTAGCATGTTCGATCAATTCTTTTCTTTTCAAACGGTTTCCTTCTCTCAAGATGGACCTGAGAAATTCTTTGTGTCTCTGGATTCTCCTCATACCTCCCATGGTGACTATCTAAGTTTGTTATGACTTTCCCACTCACTGCTTCCATCCTTTAGTTACAGGTATTGGATGTCTTGCTTAATATACTGAGAAGGCCAGCACCTGATGATAGCATTATAGGAGCACCTGCGCACCTTTACTTTAGGCAACTTCGACACAACCCCTCTATCCCAAATTTATTTCCCTATTCAACTTAAATAAGCAATAAATTGTCTTATAAATAGGTCCCTTAACATAACAAAATATATAAAAAATATTTAGTTTTCAAAATTTGCCATTTTCTTGCCTGCTTTAAACAAGTTTTTCGCGATAATTATCAAAAAAAAAAATGTACAATTCATCGTGTTTTATCGACTTTTTTGGGCAAACTTCCTATGAATGAATAAATTTTATATCACTTTTATAAATTATACTAGTTTAAAAAGCATCCAAAATATCTCATTTGCATTTTAGGCGATTCGGTGCCCCCATAATGCTATCATCACGGGAGTGTAATTTTGCGATGTTATGTTGTTCTTACATCAAAAACATGTACGACTTACATCGTGAAAACCAGTCAAATAACTTTTCTCATGCTTTGTTTTCAATTTGACTAGTGTATTGTAATATCTGCTCCACGCGTGATAATCAAGCGTAAACTATTTTGATTTATAATATATTTATAAATATAACTTATGTAATATATATGTATATATATATAGAAAATCAGTCTACCGAAAAAAATATTTTTTATATGAATAGGTTTTTTTAATAATACAACTGGTAAGCACCATTTCATATTGAGCGATAACGAAATGAACGAGTTTTACCGTTTATTTCAAATAGTAGAACACCAATAAAAGGTTTGTTAAGTTTTTATAGCAATATGATTTTCTTTGATAATTATTATAAAGTTTGTTTGTAAGATTTGTTGTTAATTTATTACTGGTATTTTCATATAATTTAAAGCACAAAAAATTGTTTTAATCTTGGCGAGTATTAATAATATATGAAAGAGCTTGGATCATTACTTTTTCAAAGTAAAGGTTGTGATAGGATCTTGATTCATTTCAATAATAATTGATTAAGCAAATTTTTGTTTAGATTTTTCGGTGTTATTGCATTTAAATCAGTACTATCTTTTGAATTCGTAAATTTGTTTCTTATTCTTATCATTATGTGTATTGAATTACTATCTAAAGCTGCAATCAAACTAGTGATTATAAGTATCTTATCTATTAAAGTTTTACTAATATTCAATGCATGTGATTGATCATTTCCTAATGGTGTTGGTGCTTATAAACCCACATCAAATTATTTACTTGAATGGCTTATTCTTGCTCCTCCTCTTGCACCAGATGGTGTAAAATATGATTTCATATGGTTGAATTTGAATTGAGTTAATTTACCCTATCATTTCATTTCAATAATTGAATAATTCTTTTTTTTTTTAATTTATTGATTTCTGTTTCAAGTTCTTTTACCTTTTTCATGTTAACTACATCATAATCATTTACACCATCACTCAAATTAATATTTTTTATTGTTTACATCTAAACCTTTTTAAAGAATAAAAGGGTATCTAATTGTATAGTAACTGCGTAAATTACGAAATGGTTTTTCATAAACATCATCATAAACATCAATTACTTCACCTTCAACACCAAGAATTACGAAGTAAAATTGCAATTCATTTGGTGTACTTGGTTGTTGGTTATTATTTGTGAATTTTATTGTTAAATTTTCGACATTGTTGTTGTCACGTTTTCAACATGCAATATAAACACTTTCTATAATTTATAATATTTGTTTTATAATCACTTATTGATGATGAATTTCTTTTCATCATTTTTGTTGTAAAAATCAGATTTATTTCTTCATTGATAAACGTTTTATTGTCGCTCATCATCTTTTTTTATTTGTGTTTTGGAAAAGTGTAGATAAGTTTATTCCAAGTTCACCATTATATTTATTATCATTTGTTTTCCTAGCAATATTTCAGCAGTCCTTTTCTTCAATTTATGAATTGAATTATTGTAATCGCAATCTTTACATTTAAATCTCTTGTTAACTCCCTATCGGGTTGATTCATGACATATGTATACCATATATCTTCCAAATGTTTATTGTAAATTAAGAGCATGTTTTGTCGCATTAGGATCTTTTGTACCAATGATTTGATTATTATTTAAGTCAGTTGTAATTCCTTCCCACTTCCTTCATTTAATTTATGATCAGAAATATTATGTGCGAGTAAACCATTTTAATAACCCATATAATAACATAAGACAACTTTTTTAGAAGAAGTTTTTTCTCGTGGTTAAAAGAGTAAGGTACACTTATTACACTGTTTAATATATCTTGGTCAATTTTATTTTCATTACAAATCATTGATTTTTCTCCACTTGAAGGAAACTCACAAATACAGAAATGTGACCAGAGTATCCTTATATCCTTTGGCGTTTTATAATAAGATTGAGATAGATATATTATTGAGCAATTTTTCATGTCTCTCACCAATAAAGTATTCAGCAAGTGGTCTTCGAATTTTTCCATATATAAAATCATCGAGAATTATTATCCTTTGGTTTCTCACTCATCTACTTTAAACGTATAATTTCATCTTTACTTACTGCAGCAACATTGTATCCTACGTCTCTACTTACTGGATCAAATGTTTCAATTAAGCTTCTATATTTACTTCAAAATTTTTTGAGTACAGATAGATTTTACCATAATAAAGCAATCTGTATCATTTCAAGAAATAGATTGGTTTTACCTGCTACCTGCTAAAAATTTGTTTCACCTTCTTCTGTACCATAATTATATATTTTCATTAAGTATACATAAAGTTTCAGTTAACTTAAAGTGTGACTTGAAGTCGTAGTTATATGTCGATATTTATATTTATTATACAAACTGCGGAGTTGTACAAGGATATCCAGCCAGGAGAAAAGCTGTAATAACACACGTGCAAATTTAAGATGTTTTTTCCGTGTTTTTGATGCCGCCAATCAGCTTTTGCCGTTTTAACGAGTAGTTAATAGTTTTGTCTTTTGTCTTTAAATTTAATAATTTTGTTTTTTGCCAAAAACGAGCTCAAACAGTACAAAGTAGTCGCCAAAATTTGGCAGAATGTCTCGAACTTCATTTTCATCATTTCCTGGTAGGCTGCTTCAGTCTATTTAACTCACAACTTCTCGACCAAACAGAAATTTCTGATCTCAGCCCGCACCATATTTGTTTATAATGAAGTGACCTCATTGCGTGAATTTGTCGACTATTATCAACTATCATGAACCATTTGAAGCAAATATGATAGACAAGTATGGTGAGTGAAAGTTGAAACTATCATCAACTACCATAACCGTTTTAAAGGGGCTTTAGCGCGAACGCACTTTACGATCATCGATCCTTTTATTTCCATTCATTAAAAAGTCGACTTTTTTTCAGTAAAGGGCTATTTTGTTTATATGATAAACAAAATAATATATGGTTGCTTTTAGTTTTTTCTTCGCTGCGCTCACTTGTGAACTGTCAAAATGAAAACTTGAGGAGAAATTCCATATCTATTTTTGACCATATATTATTCTCTATTTAATTAACATTTTTATCACTGTATTATCACATCATGAGTTTAGATAAGGGGCGTTAATTCGCAAAAAGTAAAACTGAATTAGGTTAGGAAATTAATAAAGTGAAGAAAACATTCAGGCTAATTACTTCAAAGTTAGATGATGTTATTTCTATCAATTTATTAACACCTTTGCAAAAATAGAAAATAAAACCACCAAAAAATTGCACCTGATTATGGTAGACCTGTTGATGATGAAAATAAGACACGAATCGTGACGATTTGTTTGATTAAGGTTTTGGGTTGACCACCTAAATAAATAGAATATTACATGAATCTAGATATTGATCTCCCCCTGCTTTACGAAGGTTATAATTACCCTGATTATGTAATTGATGATGATGACAATGATATTTATGATGAAAAAAGAACATTCCACTAACGGAAATTAGACAAGACAGCCACAATTTAAACTCATCACGATAGCTTAAACCTTTTAACTGCGGACCTCGGATTCATATGCTAACTGAATGCTAAATATAGACAAATGATTGACTCATATTTGACGAACCAAATACTTCAAAACAGCACTTGCAGCTTCACAGCTTACAATTTTATCATGTGCAAAACCACCTTATGTCGCCAACGTCACCGTTTGTGGAAATTATAAAAAAACTGCTCAGGGCTGATATTATTTTGACGAGGTCCGTGAAACAGAAAAATTTTGTATCTTTTTTATTCGTGTAGTTGATAGTTTTTTGGTATTTCGAATAATAACTCTGCTATCCGTTTTTGATGTGGTTGACTTCATATTTAAACAACAGCAAGACTTGAACAGAAAATCGACCTTCTTGGTTTAAAAAGGCGATTGGTATGGGTTATAAAGGTTAAATTTCTTACCATACCATAAAGGACCCCAATACCGCCCCTCCAAATGTAATCATGGTTGAAAAGATGCTTGGTGACCAGATTTAGATCTGCATGCAAAAGATTTTTCAGAGATGTAACTTCATCTCATCATGTCGTATCTGAAAACCTAACATGGACTAATGATAGTGATTGATTGGTTACCCACGGTCGTTTCGTACCCACGGTACCATGGCAGGTCACCACGATTCGTATTCAGTCAGTCAAGCCGTTTGGTACCCTTACTAACTTAGTTTGTTTTTCCTATTGAGTGTGTTTAAAATAAGGTCGGTTTCTTATTTCAAATAGCAATATTCTCGTGTTAAATAAGAGTTTTACGCGTGGCGTCCATTTTTGATTAGCAACCACGAAGGAAAGGAATAAAAAAGCACACTTACAGTAGCTGTTATCTGAAAAAGTCACGAGTATAAACAATGCATTGTTTTATCAAAAATCGTTTTTGTTAAGAAGATGACAAGTACACTCAAATTAATTTTGCTTGTATCTTATTTGCTTAATTTTGCTGTAAACTTGTCGTGCCAAACAACCGACATCTTTTTACACGTTCTTGCATGAAGTATTTCGAATTAATGTATATTGGGACGGGTACGAATCGATCAACGGTTTGGGTGCGAATCGACTGAGTTTGACTACGAAACAACCGGGTATTAATCGACCGAGTTTGGTACGAAACGACCATGAGTAATTCATTACCAAACTGGCACCTAAATTGCAAACCATACAAGCATTTTTAAAGAACATACTGCAATACGACTGATTTTTAACTGATTTAACACACAGATTTGATATGCTCAACCAAGCAGTGATTCGATGCATCCAAGCGGTTTTATCTTTCTGTAAATAAGCAGAAAAAGTATGGATTTAGTGATACCCATAAGGCACCATTTCGCTCATCGACTTTACCTATACAATAAGCGTCGGCAAATTAGCTTCAGGGACTCAGGAATTCTCTCCGTGGAACCCTATAAGTAGTGAAGAGTATAACAACAACCTTAATCAAGCGCAGTTTCTTCTTCTTTGTCGACAAGAAGCAAAAAGACGAATTGGTTGACCTTACATCACCTGAAGAACATCATCGATGCGGAGACAAACCTTTCGGGCCAGACCTGACAAAGTGACATAACGTCTCCAGGCATGACATGACTGACTGACTGAGAATAGATAAATGAACATGGCTTGATGAACCAATATGACCGACTTTTTATTGACTCGATACACCAATATTTCATTTAATTAACTGATATGGTCAGCTTCCTATTATTTGAAAATGGGCCTGAATTTTACTGAATTGATATACCAACATGCCATACTTCACACTGACTTGATAAACAATTCATTTATCCTTTCTTAATTGAGATGCCGTCAAAGCGTTTTTTTCAATAGTTTAATCCCTACTCTTTTACTTTCTGCAGACTGTGGACACCTACTAATTCAGGTTCTCCGGTTTCCCAGCGTCTGACAGGCCAAAATGGCATTGCAGCCATTTCGCAATGAACAGTTGAATTATTTTAAATTCGCTTCCATTGCTCTCAATGAATTCCCCAAGGCTTTACGTCAGACGTTTAAATCTATGTGGGACAACAACTTGAGACATCGTCCCAGTCATCAACTGTGGGATGATTCCGCTGCAGTGAGAAATTTGTTTTTGACTTTTGAGGGTGGCCCTGGAAAAACCAAAGTTCCCACAAACCTCTCCTATGAAGAATGGGATTGTACCAACCTGTTCCAGGCCACCATCTACGCCAATTCCTTTTCTATGCCCGACAGTAGAGGTCATCTCAAGACACTTGGTGAGCTACATGTAAAACCTCGTAAACTGGCTCCTGGAGTATTTCATACGTCCGTGGTGAGCCCAGGAGGGGACAATGCTGAAACTTTCGCCCTCGCCATTGATCAATTGCGACTTCTACGAAATGCACTTTGCCACTCGCACAGTTCTGAAATTGAGAAAACTAAATTTGATCATTACGTGCAGCTCGCTAAAGATGCATTTAAAGCCCTTGGTATCAAGACTGACCATGTTAATGTTATTGGTGGTTTAACAGAGTCAGAATTTCCCACAGATGAGGTTCGCAAATTGGAGGAACGTCTAAAAGAAGAATATCGAGCTTGTGTAAGTTTTCTACAACAACAGAATCAGCAACAGCAGCAAAACCTGGAAGGAATGGCTTTAGTTATCGAGGGAATGGATTCAGCTATAAGAGAAATAAAGATTAGAGTGGAAATTATTCCAACAAAAGACGACGTCGCTCAGATAATGGAGCAAAAGATGAAAGATTTGAAACTATCGCCAACTCAGGAAAGGCCAGGTAATATTGATAATAATAATTACAATATTATAATTCATTAATATTTCTAAAATAGTAATAATGGTAATGACAATGACAATGATGATTATGATTGAAGGATAGAAAGTAGGGACAATTTCCCACACCTTTTAAGAAGTCCAAGTTGTATTTAGTTCAGTTTTACTTTATATTCTAAGATGGTCATGAGAGTTTCACCTGGACTTTCACATATGGGAAAAGAAATGAAAGCAAAGGACGTAAAATGCTATTATTTATGCCCAAAAAACTTTTCTCGTAGTTGTGATGATGTTTTGGGATGTGAGGATGCAGTTGAGAAAGAAACCTGCAACTGTGATAAGGAAAGCCTTAGGCGGGTTCTGAACCTCCAAAAACGAGCAGCTAGAGTCATCCTGAATGCCCCCCCTCTAGCACCATCAGTTCCCTTGTTTAATTGGCGGAAATGGTTGCCTACACAGACGCTTTAATATCTAAATCTATTATTGCTTATAAGCGATAACAAGGTGACTTCCCTGTTTTTCTTAACAATCTACTTAAATTAAACAGTAACATCCTTAGTAGACAAACCAGATACTGTAATTTTAACTTAACCTCTCCGATGTATAATCGCGAAACAGAAGGAGGCAGAACTTTTACCGTCACAACTTGCTAAGCATGGAACAGTTTATCTTTGCCTGTAAGGCAAAGGGATTCAGTGGATTCTATAAAAAAGCATTGTGGAATGAACTTTTTAAACAACAGCAGAATCTTGGTCATCGTTCTATTTAAGTTACTTGATGAACTGTGATATGATTATAATGTTATATTTTAAATAGTTTAGTAGATTCCATAGTATCTGTATTCTTTGGTTTTTTTACCTTGTATTTTTTATAGCTTAGTATTATTTAGTATTTATTAGTATTATATTATTATTATTTATTAGTAGTAGTATTATTTATTAGTATTATTTAGTATTTATTATTTCTTAATTTATTTATTTATTATTTAGAGGGCCACAGGTTTATTAGCTCCGGCTATTTCGTGCTTACTCTCATAAAATAAATTCTTTACTAACTTACTTACTTACTTACTTTACTCTTCTGATTTCCCAGAAGAATACATGTCATCCCTTGAATCTGAAGATGTTGCAGCTGTTCGGTATATTCAGAGGGAGCTTGAAACCCAACTGCTTAGAGGAGAGGACTCAAGGGCGGCTGACAATTACTATTTCCTTGGCATAATGAAACATAAAGCGGGCGATTTTGTCTCCGCTCTTAAGCATTCTGAGCGTTCTCTTGATATAAGACGAAACCTACTCGGTGAAGAACACCCAGATACTGCCAACAGTTACTTTTCCATCGGAGCCACTCAACTTACCTTAGAAAACCTTCCCTCAGCTCTTCAGTCTGCACAACGTGCACTGGAGATAAGACGAAAGCTGTTTGGAGAGGAACACCCAAGCACAGCAGACAGTCACTTCGCGGTAGGGGCAATTGAACTTTCACTGGACAACTACTCTTCTGCCCTCCAGTCTGCACAACGTGCGCTAGAGATAAGGCAAAAGCTGTTTGGAGAAGAACACCCAAGCATAGCAGACAGTCACTTCGCGGTAGGGGCAATTGAACTTTCATTGGACAACTACTCTTCTGCCCTCCAGTCTGCACAACGTGCGTTAGAGATAAGACAAAAGCTGTTTGGAGAAGAACACCCAAGCACAGCAGACAGTCATTACGAAGTAGGGGCCGTTCAACTTTCATTAAACAACTACTCTTCTGCTCTCCAGTCTGCAAAACATTCTTTAGAGATAAGACAAAAGCTGTTTGGAGAAGAACACCCAGGCACAGCAGACAGTCACTACGAAGTTGGGGCCGTTCAACTTTCATTAAACAACTACTCTTCCGCTCTCCAATCTGCGCAACGTGCGCTAGAGATAAGACAAAAGCTGTTTGGAGAAGAACATCTAAGCACAGTATATAGTCACTTAGCAGTAGGGGTCGTTCAACTCTCGTTAGGAAACTACCCTTCAGCTCTTCAGTCCGCAGAACATGCATTGGAGATAAGCCAAAAGTTGTTTGGAGAGGAACACCTAAGCACCGCAGACAGTTACTTTTTGGTAGGAGCCACTCAACTGAAGTTACATGACTTTTCCTCTGCCCTTCACTCTGTACAACGAGCAATGGAAATTAAAAAAAAGTTTTTCGGGGAAGAACACATAACGATAGCTGACAGTTACCATTTATTGGGACTTATACAACACGAGCTGGGCGACTCTGCCGCAGCTCTTCAGTCTACAAACAAGGCACTTGACATGGCAAGAAAACTCCATGGAGAAGAACAACCCAGAATTGCCAACATTTACCATTCGATTGGCGTCTTACAGCATGAGTTAAACGACATTCCCACCTCTCTTCAGTCTCATCAGCGTGAGCTTGACATAAGACGAAAGTTACATGGGGACGAATGCTCGGAAATTGCCGACATTTACCATTCGATTGGCGTCTTACAGCGCGAGTTAGGGGACCCTTCTTCCTCTCTTCAGTCGCATCAGTGTGAGCTTGACATAAGACAGAAGTTCCCAGGAGAAGAACAGTCCAGAATTGCCGACATTTACCATTCGATTGGCGTCTTACAGTACGAGTTAAAGGAAGTTTCCTCCTCTCTTCAGTCGCATCAGTGTGAGCTTGACATAAGACGAAAGTTACCAGGAGAAGAACAGTCCAGAATTGCCGATATTTACCATTCGATTGGCATCTTACAGTACGAGTTAAAGGACATTCCCTCGTGTCTTCAGTCTCATCAGCGTGAGCTTGACATAAGACGAAAGTTACATGGGGACGAATGCTCGGAAGTTGCCGACATTTACCATTCGATTGGCGTCTTACAGCGCGAGTTAGAGGACATTCCCTCGTGTCTTCAGTCTCATCAGCATGAGCTTGAAATAAGACGAAAGTTACCCGGTGAAGAACAGTCCAGAATTGCCGACATTTACCATTCGATTGGCGTCTTACAGCATGAGTTAAACGACATTCCCACCTCTCTTCAGTCTCATCAGCGTGAGCTTGACATAAGACGAAAGTTACATGGGGACGAATGCTCGGAAATTGCCGACATTTACCATTCGATTGGCGTCTTACAGCGCGAGTTAGGGGACCCTTCTTCCTCTCTTCAGTCGCATCAGTGTGAGCTTGACATAAGACAGAAGTTCCCAGGAGAACAACAGTCCAGAATTGCCGACATTTATCATTCGATTGGCGTCTTACAGTACGAGCTAAAGGAAGTTTCCTCCTCTCTTCAGTCTCATCAGCGTGAGCTTGACATAAGACGAAAGTTACCTGGAGAAGAACAGTCCAGAATTGCCGACATTTACCATTCGATTGGCATCTTACAGCATGAGTTAAACGACATTCCCTCGTCTCTTCAGTCTTATCACCATGAGCTTGACATAAGACGAAAGTTACATGGGGACGAATGCTCGGAAGTTGCCGACATTTACCATTCGATTGGCGTCTTACAGCATGAGTTAAAGGACATTCTCTCGTGTCTTCAGTCTCATCAGCGTGAGCTTGAAATAAGACGAAAGTTACCCGGAGAAGAACAGTCCAGAATTGCCGACATTTACCATTCGATTGGCGTCTTACAGCACGAGTTAAAGGACATTCCCTCGTGTCTTCAGTCTCATCAGCGTGAGCTTGAAATAAGACGAAAGTTACCCGGAGAAGAACAGTCCAGAATTGCCAACATTTACCATTCGATTGGCGTCTTACAGCACGAGTTAAAGGACATTCCCTCGTGTCTTCAGTCTCATCAGTGTGAGCTTGACATAAGACGAAAGCTACCTGGAGAAGAACAGTCCAAAATAGCTGACATTTACAACTTGATTGGCGTTTTACAACACGAGTTAGGGGACTTTACCTCCGCCCTCGATTCTTTTCAGTTTGCACTCAATATTAGACGCAAGCATTTTGGAGAGGAACATTCCGCCACAGCTCAAAGTTATTTTTCCGTCGGGGAAATTCAAATCGTGTTAGGCGACTTCCACTCATCCCTATCATCCAAGGAAAAAGCACTTGAGATTAGACGCAACTTATTTGGAGAAGATGACGCAGTCACTGCTGATAGTTACATTTCGGTCGGAGTCATACATCTTAGGCTTCGTAACTATAGCTTGGCAATTCATTCTCTACAACGTGGTCTTGAAATAAGGCTGAAAGTATGTGGGAAAGTACACTTAGATACAGCTGAAAGTTACTTTTTACTCGGAAAAACACAAAACGAGTCAGGTGACTTTGACCCAGCTCTTAAGTCTGTACATAGTGCGCTTCATATCCATAGAAAACTGCTCGGGGAGGACGACCGAATTACTGCTTCAAGTTACCACTTACTCGGGGTCATTCAATGTAAGGCGGGTGACTTCAAGTCTGCAATTCAATCATTACAGCGTGAGCTTAGCATCATGCGTGAACTCATCGGAGAAGATAATTCAAGCGTTGCTGACATATACCGCTTAATTGGCATCATACAGGACAAGTTGGGTGACTTTCCGGCTTCCCTTCAGTCGTATCAACGCGAGCTTGACATACGAAGCAAATTACTTGAAGAAAAAGAAGAAGACCCAAGTATTGCGGACAGTTACACAGCAATCGGTTGGGCACAACATAAGTTAGGTGACTTTACTTCGGCTCATCAGTCTGCTCATCGGGCGCTGGAAATCAGAAAAATACTTTTCGGGGATGAACACTCAGACACTGCCGACAGTTACCAATTTCTCGCCGTCGTGAAAGGTGCATTAGGCGACTCTGACTCAGCTCGTCGGCTGGAACAGTGTGCCAATGATATCAGGAAAAGGCTATCCTCGATTTCATAAATCATTAACTCACACATGACAGCTACAATTCATTCCTGGCTGCCAAATGTAAAACTTGTGTGAACCATATGCCCTTAAAATCAGATTGGAACACTGAAAAATAGTCTTTTATCAGCATCTGTACAGGATGCCATGCAACAGTTGACTTTCGCTCATTTCTTGAATCTCCGCGGTGTGATGCAGAGTCGCTAAGACTATAAAGAAAAGCACTCGTCGAGGAATGCTTTGGAGAAAAATCATAAGCTTTTGAATAGAACTTGTGGACCACTTAAGACTGGTTTATCAAAAATACTCAGGTGTATTCAAAACTATTATCATCCAAAATGCTCTGGAAGTAAAATCATAAAGAAAAGAACCTCAAAGTAAGTACCTTCACATTATAAACTCTGTACACAATGCGCTACACTCAATCGCAGTCTTCTGAGTTTGGTGATTCGCGTGCTCACAGCTAGAAAATTTTTTTAGTCATTTTTAACAATTTTTACCAGATATTTCGGAAAAAAATGCTGAAAATGAGTTTAAATAGGAAACCAGTACTTTCTGAAATTACAATAATCTAAGTTTTGTAACTTTGAGTGTAGAAAGATGAGGTGTAAATAGTTTAAGATAAGCCCCACACAAGTATACACAAGAGTAACGAATTTCGCAGGCGAGGAAATTAAGTGGGAGCGCAGATTTATGCATTAACACTGATTTCTTTGGAGCTTCCGGGTTAAATACAATACATAGAGAGCTCTTTTTCAAGAGTTGAAGGCATTCACTTGCGTTTGAATTATTCGTCGAGCGCAAGTAAAATGTTTTCAAGGGATCACACCCTTATTGACAAAGTCGTCTCATAATTTTCTAATTTTGACGAAGTCGTCTCATAATTTTTCAATTTTGACGACTTCTCCCAGCTTTCTGTTGCTCTAAAGTATTTATTGCCGTTACTTAGCTATTCCTGTATACAAGATCGCTTTTCGGCTGACTGTCGTCAAAATAAAACAAGATTAATTTCTAAAAGTAAACGACATCCACAGTAACTGTTTCGAAAAGAGCCAACAATAACTCAAAGTGAACGGTACAAGAGAGGAATCGAGTGAGATAGGAACCAACTTAGCATTAGCTTTTGTTTTGTATGGCTTCAAAAAGCGAAACCAACGGTAAACCCATGCTATTGCCTATGCTCGAGCAAGTGAGGTTAGCCAGTAGTTTATAATATGACACTAGTTCGGGACAAACTTGTTTATTTTGCGTCGGTGGGAGAGTACAGCAGGTGATTTAGTGTTAACAACTGAGTTGAAAACGTAAATTAGCCACCGTAAAGGGTAAAAAAGCTGACGTTTCGAGCGTTAGCCCTTCGTCCATCGCTCTGACGACAGACACTAAATTACCTGCTATTTTTGAATTTGCCGGTTTTCGCGATCAAAACCACACGACGACCACAGGATCGTTTCTATGTAAGTAAGAGCCAAGTATAACGCTCGGATTTACCTCTAGACTATCTTGGCATACAATAATAACTTCTTACGAAGGGGGGGAATACCGTTAAAAAACGGCCAGCCCTCGGTTGTTGTTTAACGGACCGAGCGCAGCGAGGTCCGTACTGCCAATATTCCCCCGTACGGCCCTTACGCTTGATCAGAAAGAAATTGGTATTTTTACGAGATTTGCCGTATTTTGACGATCCCGTTAGGCGAGTTGAAATATAAATTATCAGAAAAAATTGTCAGTGATACTACAAACCAAAGCGTCTAATCAGTTATTTATCATCCAAATGCTTTATCTCATATGCTTTACTTCTGAGGCGGAAAAGCGAAGCAAATAGAGAAGCGGTTTGTGATAGGTCTTGCGTTACGCTCGCGCCGGATTGGCTCATGAGATTTATCTCCGTCAAACAAGGTTTGAAAAAGATTGAATTTTGTTTTGTGATCGTTGTTGTCAAATCGTACACATTAAAGTAAAAAATTGTCTACTCATAAACTACTCATTCAAAGAGGTTCCCTTGGAATTCAGATCCTCCCGAATCTTCTTACTAAGTTCAGTCACTGTCATCACTTCCGCTCGCCGTTCAAAAAGGCTTGATGGAAATATTCACGCAATTTTCACTCATTGTTAACTCGCCACACACCTTATTGACTTAATGTGGCGAGAAACATCCGTGGATTACAGAGTGATGTTCACTATATCAATACTTCTTTATGGATGTCTAAAATGTAATAGAAGAGATGTCATTAACGATTTACAAAAATTCTTTCGCTTATGGAACGGAGTGAATTTTTCTAGCTCCGTTGACGAAATGGTGCATTTTGTCTCAGGACACGTCTGAGAAAAAGAAGTCAAACCATGTAGAAACGGCACTGATTGAAAAACATAAATTAGACCACTCAAAAGATTTTTCCCACCCTATAACCAGTGGGATGTTACGAAAAGCGGGAATGGGAAATGAGGAATGAGTGTTGTGAAAAGTTTCCACGCAAATATTGATTTTCTAGATTTATTATGACTTTAATTGTGTATTAAGTGAGTTGTGATTTCGTTACCGTTATAGTACAGAGTTAACTTTACAATTAGAAGTTAACTGTAATTGGGAGCGGCATAGGGTAATCAAATTAATTCTTCGAGCAGTGATGTATGAAACTATTTGCAGGGCGTTTAAGTGCGTAGGAACCTAGCAGCTTGATTGTCAAGTAAAGCCATGTTTAATAGGAAATAAGTGCCCACGAATCGTTGTAGAACGTCGGTGAATCTTGAATCCCATACGGAATTACGTATCTGGGTGTGGATTTCATTAGCTAATAAATGTAACATTTTTGTAACCCTAGGATTAGATTGTAATAGGGTAGATAGATCGCAGAACGGAACATGTAATGCTGAATTGTCGTAAATAAAGCCTGAATCAAGAGAAAGTATACAGTCCAAGATTACTGAACCAGCGTGTGCGGAATTCTCAGCAACGCAAGTGGGAAATTCTGCGAAAATGGGAAATTGAAAATGAGAAATTGAAAATGGGAAATTAAGTACCTTTTTTAAATTTATAGTTATTATGCAGAATAAAAATTTTTCAGCAGCGATTATCGATATCCACGCTTTCTGCTAAGACGTTCAGAGACAACATTTAAAAAAAAGAATAAATAGATGATAACGTAAGAAGTGATAGATGATAACTAAAGAATGTTGTAAAAACAAATTTTATTCTTTTCCTTAACAAGAGATAGGTTGAATTAAACTTGTTGAGATGAAAGGGCTATTTGAATGTTCACTTTAGAATTGATAAATTGGAAGGTTTAACGAAGTTAGCCGTTAATTTTTCAGAAACCAAGTCACCTTTCAACTCCGAACGACAAATGAACCCACAGTTGAATGTCCATTTAAGAAAAAGTTTTCATTATGTTTTTCGAAAGTAGTGGAGACTTGCTAAGTAGTAAAATTTCGATCAGAAATTGCCTTACTTTTCAAGCTAGTGGCTGCGGCGTTGCTGAAAAAATCATATCAAAGCATAATTTTACGTTAACGACCATAAGACGCGCCTTCCAGATGATGAATCTATCAGGTTTCGAGTGCTAATTTGCATGAATATCGGTGGCCAGTGTGCAGCAATTCCTGAACTTCCAAAGGAACGAACGAACGAGCGTATTTCCGCGAAAAAATGGAGGCTATTTGTTTATTATCCTTCAAATATTATTTGCGAATTACAGGGAAAAATGTTTATGAACGGTTAACCGTTCATTGCGTAGGATGTTCACTTTCTGGTGTTCACTGATACGATTTTGTAAACAAACATACAAACATGTCCCTTCTTTTTTAATAACCCCAAAATGCTCTCTCATCTTAAATTAGTTTTAAACGAAGACATCGTAATGGACGTAGAACTTGAAGATTAGGGAATATCGCTTGGGGTGTATCCTCGATTATGATCCATCAAATATTTTTGCTGCACACGACTGGTCTAAACGCATCACGTTGACAAATATTACCTAGCTGAAACTGGGGGATATCCGAGGATATCACCCAAGTGGTACCCCCCAATTTTCAAACCTTACGTCCACTACGATAAGTCTTCGTTTGCAATTTAATTTAAGATGAGAAAATTTATGGTCGTTATAGAAGAAGGGAAAGTTTTGTTTGTTCATAAGGTCGCACCAGAGAAGACCCAAAAGAAAACATCCCAAACAGAAAACAATAAACTGTTCGTAATATTTTTTCACGCGCGTTGTTAAATATTGAAGAATGAGAAACACAATAGCAACTATTTTTCGTGAAAGTTATACTTATATATTTTTTCTTGGACATTATCTGTTCCTTGACGCTCACTTCTTTTCTTTTCATCAATTTATTTGGGTCCTTGACTTTTGCCCTTGAACGTCGTTGAAAGAGAACGTGGATATCGATATAAAATATCTTTTACTCATTATAAACAATAAATCTAAAACAAAAACATTGAAAAAATTCATTTCTTATTTTCAATTTCCCATTCCATTTTCCCATTCTACATTTCCAATCTGCATTTCCCATTCCACATTCCACGTTTTTCGTTCCCCATTCCCGCTTTTAGTAACATCCGATTTATACTGGAAGAAAATAGAGATTCCTCTTGAGCTTGCTCTCGCGTCAAAAATTCGAATGTCAGATAATTATGACTTCGTCATACACGCTTCCAGATCAAGTCCGATCTAATATTTCAGTAACTTTGCAGTTATCAACACCTGCGTTTATAATGCTTCGCTTGTCGAGGCCAGCGAACTCGACAGCAACCCGCTGCTTTATAAGACGATAAACTTTGCTTGGAAACTTAAAGATATGTATTTGTCATTTCAGTGATAAAGATATTATCTTACTGTGGTAGTTATTACAATGTTACTTGTATGATTTCAAATATCAAGTATCATTATCAAATTCAATATTTTTGGCTGTCTGATACTTGTCAGAATGTCAGAGTGGCTTTGAAAAATTATTCTGAGATTTTACCAAACCAAACAATTATTTGGTTAAATACTTAGAGGTTCGGTTATTCAAACAAAGTTTAGCCGTTGTTTAACAAAACTGCGTCCCAAATAATCCACAATTGAGCTGGACCTTTTATCTGAATGTCTATTTTTTTGAACAGTGTCAAGAGGGCTGAGAGCTAACAGTGGAAGGACATTTATTAATTCCGCAAAACCGTTGATTAGGTTAGACTTCGTAATTAACCGGCCCAGGGCAGTTGTTCCCCTGGCTGTTCAGTGACCAGTATAATTAATTTGACAGAGATTAAACGTTTGCAGTCAATATGCATAAATTTATTCCAATCACTTTGGATTTAGTTCCAAAGTATAAAGTGTATTGTAACAGCGGTTAAGCAAAATAAAGTGAGTTCTCCTGGACTTTCTCTTCTCTCGATCCTGAACTGCAATGACGCAGAGAGGTGTAAAGGACCTTTAACAGAAAAAGAGTGCGGAAAAGCGGCAACGTCAGAAATTATCCTATAGAATGAAAGCGAACTTACGAGCACAAACCCAGCTGCTAAGTTTCCATGACAACCAATTTTCCCGAAAGATCATCAACACTTACATTTATATTTCCAGGGAAAGCATTGGCACTTATGTTTACATGCAGTTTCAACAGAAATGGTCATCAAAGTACCGACATTTAGGGGTATAATGAAAGGCAAAGTATTAAAAAAATGAATTGTTGGCAATTCAAAAACTGCTGTGGCTTTTCTATATTTTTGAAATACTAGAACGAAAGAACCCGAATAAGTCGAAAATGATTAAACATGAAAAGTGTATGCGTAAATATGTTCCAAACAAACACACGGAAAAATCACAAAATTTTCTCCTAATAAAGTGCAAGTTATAAAATAATTGACATTGGCGGAGGTGCACATGAAGTGATCAGTAATCTTGATAGATCTCTTGGGTCCCGATATTTCCTTTACGTTATGAATGAAAGGACAGATTTTGTCTCGCGCGCGAACGCACTTGAAGGTTTTACGTTGGTCATTGGTTTGAAATGAACCTCTGACCACAAAGTTACGTTGCCTGTGTTTTTGCCACGTTTGAATGAGATTAATGGACCTTACAAAAAGATATTTTCAGTCACTGAATCGTTTTGAAGTAATTTAAAGTTTTTAAGAATGAGAGATTTAAATGCGTGGTTGTGAGGCTGAAATGTGAGAGTGAATGGATTGCGATCGGTATTTCCTTCTGTGCCGTTTGTAGTGCTGACTCTCGATCAATTTGTTGGGTGCGGTGGTGGCCTGCTTGAACGACAGAGACAGGATAGCCACGTTTATCGAAAAACTGGCATTGCCTCTGATTACTACATAAACGACGAGGTCTGAGAAACTGTTAAAAAGGTAGGGAATTCTTGACGTGTGATGGATGCTTAGTCGGATGAGTACAATAAGTAGCGATGTGAATCTGTAAGTTGTACATAAACCGTTACCTTCCATAACATGCACCCCAAGCTCCAGCTTTGGGATGATCATCTTGCGTAATAAGAGTTACGGCGAAAATACGAGAGTTTGTATGGGAATATTTACAACCGCTCTTAGGAACAAAAAAGAACAGTGAAACTCTCAATAAAAATACTTCATCTTACTTTCTGATGCATTGCTTGTTTTGTGACCGCTTACTTTGTTACAACGAGGCCATTTTAGCGAGTTATCCATTTCTAGGCTTACTACTCCAAAGAGAAGGACCTTCTCTTGGGAGTAGCAAACCTACAAATGGGTAACACGCTCAAATGGCTTCTTTTGAACATAGTAAGCAACATAGTTCTGCGGCTTTCCAAACTGCGTAGGCAAGCGGCAAAACTCTAACTCTCGATTTCCTCTAGTTTAAAATGAAAAACTTGAATAAACGCCCCATACCTTTTAACGGAGCGTTAACTAAAAGGAAAGAACACAGAAGTCTAGAGTCACGTGGCAATCACAAAATCAAAATGACATCTATACGTTGTGAATGTGGATCGCTCGTGAAATCATTATTAAAACGGCTCGGAATTTCCACTTCAGAACTAAAAATTCACTAAAATGGATGATCTTAGAGTCCAGGCAAAGAAAGAGAAAGGTAGTCCAATTAAACTACATATTGAGTTTTATTTTTAACTTTGTACTTCGCATAATTTACATTGCACCTTTTTCGAAATTCTGTAGCGTAGTCGCACATCGGGCGTTCAAACCTTAACTTTTGGTGGCCCTAGTCAGTTTTAACTCGCCACTGGCGACCGTGCGACCGCCAATTTTTAGCCCTGGAAACTCCGCTAAAGAATCTAAACCTGAGGTTGACATGCACCCTTGTTCTGGTAAAGGTGAATCACTTTTTCTTTTTTTTAAATTTTAACGTGTACTAGTGATGACAGTTGTGAATGTTTGAAGTCCGGCTCTTGTTCAACTTCACCTGCAGGCAAGAGTTTTGGTTTTTGTGACTCATCATGAGACTGTGGCAGGGGCATGGATTGACTGTCATCAGCAGGTGGCAGTGAGACCGACACTTCCGGTTTCTTTTCTTCCTGTGATTCGTTGTCATTAATGACATCTGTTTCTAGTATGGCTACTTGTTGTTGGTTATATTTATCCCTTGCGATCTCGTACAATCTCCTTGCTTCAACAGGACCTGTTTGTTCCACAAGTTGACAAAAAATTCCACGGGGATTTTTTAGAAGAACATAAGGCGCATCGAACTCTTTGAGGCGGCCAGCATCTAACACCTAGGGTAAAAAAAAGGTAACGTGGAGTGTAAATTAAATATGGAATGAAGGAGACTGTAAAGTATCATCTATCAACATCTACATAGCCTCCTACCAGTACTTTGTCGGAGTCGATAATGGTATTGAGACGATGAGCTATCGTCAACACTGTGCAATGCTTAAATTTCTCGCGGATGGTGGTCTGAATCAGAGAGTCTGTCCTGCAAAAACGTAGAATTACGTAAAGAAATAAAAAGAATAAATGATTTGAAAACATCGCAAAGTTTCCAAAGTAACGACTTCCGTAGGTGCTGTAACAGTTTGACCTGAAAAATGCATATAGGAGGGTAAGTCAGTTGTAGAACATATTCCATGAACGGCAATCATTCATTTTTCATTATCGAATTCATTACAGGATCACCGATCATTAAAGAAACACTCCAATGTTGGAAAAGTCAAGTGTCAGGACACTTACTTCTGATCAACATTAGCAGTGGCTTCGTCAATGACCAAAATACGACTATGCCTTAAAATTGCACGTGCCAGGCACACAAGCTGCCGCTGACCAACACTGAAATTTGAGCCTGATTCTCCCAGCTCTTCATCTAGCTTGTTTGGCAACTCCTCAACAGCGTTTTTCAACTGGACCTGAAGGAAACAATTTAGATATTCAACGTTAAATCCATTGCCTTAATCAGCAGAAATTAGTTTATCAATGTAATCTTTTTACCTCCTCCAACACGTTCCACAATTCAGTGTCTAGATGTTCTCCAAATGGATCCAAATTTCTTCTCATAGGACCACTAAACAACACCGGTTCCTAAACAAATAATCACCTAATCATGTTAACAAAAGAGAAAAGCTTTGGGAATGGTTAGACGGTTGGAATCCAAGCCATACCGGGTTCACCGCGTGCCCCATTCCTCCAAGTCCCAAGAGATTCACAGATAAGAAGCTCATGTCATGGAGAGGGGGAAGGGGGAAGCAGAGTTTTATGACATAGTCAAGAAGCTCACCCTGATACGTCACATAATCACATGGCTTGTTCTTGTATGAAATTAACAATACAATGTGATGGTCACTGGAATCAACGAGGGGGGTTGGGCCCCCACGTGTCGGTTAAATTCAAAATCATTATCATGGCTACTTTGCTCCTGAATAATATCAAAAAAACTACTGAAACCAACTCATCATGGGAACCTTAAAATGTAGCAAATTGAATGTAAGGGCTATCACTATGAGGCTTTATATGATGACAATGATAATGATGACGTCAATGATAGCGGTGATTATTATCAAAATTATTGAAATTATTGCTATCACTACTCTTACTACCAACATTCTCGTCATCATCATAAAAGCCAGAGTTTGCAGTGGAGACCCCTCTCTACGAAATCTGTAGAAAAGGACAAAATTTGGATTTATTTATTACCTGTGGAATGATGGATAATTTGCTTCTTAAGTCTTTCAGCCCAAGTTCCTGGATATTGACACCGTCGATTTCAATTTTACCTCGGGGTTCTGACAAGCGGAACAGTGTAGAGATAAGGGATGACTTTCCAGCACCGGTCCGACCCACTACACCAATCTAAAGAACACGGCACACCATATAAAGAACATGAGTAACAAGAATTTAAAAGGACGAAAGCACCTGCAATAGAATTGGATCACAGCTATGTGGTTGCTTAAAAAGAAGTTCGATGCAAAACTTTCAAATAGTTTATTTTCACGAGATTGATTTATTTAACATCTTCAGTGTCGTAAGATTTTAACAAACGTTTAGAACGATTTTAAAAATTATTACCATTAGCTTCCAAGAAAGCAATGTATGTGCTATGTTTCCTATGAAAGTATATTTGGAACTCCTTGCAAGTAAGAAAACTAAGCTTATCGTTGTAGCAACGAAAAACATGATCAACTGTTCCCTTTAGATTACTCGCATCAGATTTGACACTAACGTTGCATCCACAGAGAAGACGAGGCCATCTGAGGTAATTTATCATGATCGGGAGGAGCAAAGGAGCACTACAGGTCCTTTGGGGATTAAAGCATACAATCTCATATACAGCGCTTAAAAGGAGCCAGAATACTAGCCGGACTTATAATCCCATTAACCAACCACCATTTTTCTCTGGCCAAATTTTGTCGCTCATTTCCACTGACCGAAAGCCTATCAAAGGATAGCTCATTACTTGATGTAGCGAAAGGCGATTACTGCGAAGACTCACTAAAGACATATTAGCAGGGTTTGATCACTAATTACTTCCATGCGTGGTAAATTCCGGAGTCTATAACGTTTCTAGTCTACTGAATGAACAGGGCGGAGTCGGTGTTAAGCTGGGGTGATCTTGTCTTCAAAATAAACAATCAAAGAGACGAGCAGAGGTCTAACCTTTTCACTGGGTTTGATAGTGCACGTGATGTGATGTAGCACATCTGGTAAGCTGCGGTGATACCTGAATGACATATCATCAAAGTCAATCTGTCCACGAGATGGCCAATCATCTTTAGGTTTCGTCACAGTTTCGGCTGGAGCTTCAGCTTCAAGGTTGATGTATTCCACGATTCGCTCTACAGAGGTCATCTAATTACGAATAAAAAAAAACAGACTTAGGACTGTAATGTTGGATGGAAGATAGCTATGGATGTCCCAACAATGGGTTAATTATACGTTTCAATGGTTAGCTAATCACTAAAACCTTACCATGCGATCGTCCGTTTAAGGAAAAGTCCATATTACAATAAAATAGATAAAACCTTGCAATGGATCTTTCACAATACGCTACTGTTCTTATCCTACTAGATTCGCCTCAACAAAAGACTCACAAGATTTTCAAGTTCAGCACTCCCTTCAATAAATGGTTGGAAGACAGACGTTAACATGATTGAATACGTCAGAGTCAGACCAACAACACCAGCACTGAGATCTACAGCTGCAACAGAAATGAAAACAATTAAAGAAACTGAACAATAGCAGCAATCAGTCCAGGGTTTGCACAACTTTCTGAATACAAAATGAAGTCTTGCTCCACACTTACGGCCGTGACTTTATCGTATGGTCGAAACAGAATTACAGTTGTCGAAAGCTTGTTCCAAAATTGAAATTCTTACAAAAACTTATAACAGCTTTGAAAGAAACTCGAGACGTCTTCACACTCTTTCAGAACTTTTTCATAAATTTCTATAAAAAAAGAAGCCAAACCTCAGTGCAAAACCACAGTTCTTGTCTTCAAAGGAAGACACCTACATATACTAAAAGGTGAACCAAAGTAATTGGAACATCTTACTTACTTCCTTTTAAAGCTGCAGATACAAAAGCAACAAAGGCTAGAAACAGAACAGTAAGCATTTCCAGTCTAAAGTTCAACCACGTTTGACCCGCCAAGTAACAAAACCATGCTCTTGAATGAGCATCTTGATAACCATTAACTTGTTCTGTAAAAGTCTCCTCCACTTCATAGGCACGTATAGTGTCCAGACCGAGAAGGGTAGTGGAGAAATGACCAAATAGTGGACTACGACCTAAAGGAGTAAAAAGTATAGAAATGGTGCATTTTTTTTTGTCGTAAGTGGAGAGCAGCAATAGTAGTTCCCTTACTTATTCCTTCAATGCGCTTGATTTCTCGAGACGACTTCATGAAATAATTCCTCAAATAAACAAAACCAATGGTCACAGGTACAATTATGACAAATGTCGCTGGATTACTGACAGCAACTAGTCCTAAAATGCCAAGACACATTAAACCGGTCTGCAAGAGAAAAAAAAAACCAGACCACAATCAACAGCAGTTAGTAAACTACGATAATTGCCGTATTTACTCGAATAAGCACCCGGGCGCTTATCTAAGAATTCGGCTAAACGGAGAGGCGCTTATTCGAAGGAAGGCGCTTAATTGGGGAAGCCGCTTATCAAGTTAGTGGAGCAATAACACGAAAAGAAAAAGAACAGTTTTTGTACGTAAAAGAACTCTGTAAGCACATGGAAAAAGAAATAACAGGAACGGACAAGAAACTATTCTCCTGTGCTGATTCCGCTGTTATTAAAGCTTACAAAGTTTTAAATTAAAGTGGCGATAAAACAGGTTTTCCTTGTATCGTTAATACTTTGGAAAGTGAGGGAGGCGGGGGGCACTTGTTTGACATTATGGCTGATGGGAAGGCGCTTATTCAGGGGAGGTCTCTCATCAGAGCGTGGGCACTTTTTTGAGGAAATAAGGTAGAGGTCACAGGAAAATAATTCATGAAATCTTCACTCTGTATCTTCATTAATTCATGAATTATGCCGCATGAAATGTCTAACGGTGACCACAACATTTCAAAGAAGACAATGTTTCGTTAGTGGTGCTTCAGCTGTGTGTCAGTCTACCCAAGGGAAGAATATTTTAACTTGACACCGCCTTTGTTTCAAATTGAGTCTACTGGTTCAATCCTTTTCTGTGAGAAGCTTTGATAGGGTGTCTCGAAGGACCCTGCAACCTCATGTAATATTTGTCTACCAAGTTACCAAACCGGTAAACCTTCACTCTCTCCTTCTCAGACACATTGTAGTTGTGACTAAATCTTAAAAGTCGGTTGGTTGCAATGTTTTGATATTTAGCCGGTGATCATTACCCTATCCGTTGTCCACTTAACACTGTTGCTCTAAACGAGCCGTCATTCCAAACAATTCTCTGGTCCTGTGTGCGTTACTCACTATTTCGATAGAATCGATTTTTGGAATTAGTCTTTCATTTATACGACTGATCATAAATTGTGTGATACAACAACCAGACTTGTACAAAGAAGTGACTGAATGCTGTGCCCCTCCGTACTGAATGAGGCGCAATTACCTGATGCCTGAGAAGGAAAGAGTGTGAGGGTTTACTGATTTAGTAACAAGGTACGATATGTTATTCCTAAGGATGTAGGTATCTCAAAAAAATATCTAAAAACAGAAACAGATTTAAACCAAGAATTAAAATTACTTTTAAAACTAACAGCGGGCCACAGGTGGATAACGGAATCTCACCCTTTATCCATGCAGTACAACTATACTTAGTAATAATATCAATGCTACCTGCAAAACATCACATAGGATCATAGGCATCAAGTCGTCTACCATTCCAATGTCCTTCGCAAATCTGTTTAAGATTCGCCCTGTAACAGGTAAACATTGGTATGAATTATTGTGTCATAGAGTATTGCGTCAGACCCATCTGGTGCGGAAAGGAGTACTTGAAATATTCTACCAGGAGTGCATTAAACTATCTGGGTTATTAAATAAAGTAAGATGTAAAATTAGAGTCAGCAATCGTGCGGGGTGTGCCCCCCCCCTGAAATAGCATGAGTACATTAAACTGTCTGGGTTATTACATAAAGTAGGGTATAAAAACTACGGTCAGCAATGGAGCCAGTTGGCTCCCCCCTGGATGGATGTGATGCCAGCCCATTGCAGCTCAACCCTTCCCCCGGTATTTGGTGCGGTCTCCCTAGCAGTTCGCCGTTACACAAAAAGAACACCCAGACCTCTCGATCTTGAGTTCACCATTCAAAAATTAAATACACCTTTAGTTGAATGGTAATCAGAGCTCTTCAAACTCTGGGCGAAATTCAGCAAAAAATTTAAATTCTTCCTCAAAGAGGCACCTTCAGCCGGTTCACAGAAGTAAAGACTAAATGCTTTAATAACAACTTCGTTATTTTTTGTTAGAACAAGTTCTACTTTAATAATTCATTTGATGTTACCGAACATCTATCGATCCAAACGTTCCTCACCTATGGAATTGTTGTCAAAAAAGTACATGGGTGCCCTCAGAAGACTACTTAACATTTTTTCGTACAAGTTCCTTGAGGCAACTACTGTTAGTGTGTAGAACAGCTCAGTGGAAAAGAGACATAGCAAAAACAATCCTATTACAAAACCACCATAAACCCCTAACAGCAAGCCTCGGTCGGGTTCTGATGCAGCACTCGCCGTGGAGTTGCCAGTCTGAAGCATTATAGCGACGAAGTATGATTCCTCTGTATTAGACCTGCATCAACACAACACAACAGAAAAAGATAAAGGCAGGTGTGCATTATGCAGTTACCTAAAGAAGGGAAAAGGTACACAGCCGCCCTCAGAAACAACAACTGAAGGTAAAATTTCATCGGAAAAAAAACTGAAGTAGTTAGTCAGTCATCAGAAGTCAGTATAATCATATTAGCAAAGGCAATCACACGAAGAACAAACAAGCACACGTTATTTTATATGAGTACAGATTCTGACTAATAGTCTTGAGGCAGCATGAAAGCGCTTTATATACATGTAATTACTATATGCATTCGCAGAAAGACTTGATAACTTCCTCAGGCAAGGGAAATCAAATTTTTTTGGAGTAATCCCCATACAGCCCCGTCATTCAGCCTCTCCTTTTCAAAAAATTAGCAGCCCTGGGTACAAGTGTTGCCACTACACATGACTTTCAAAGGCCTTCGTCGGTCCAATAAGGTCATCCATCTTCACTCTTTTAACCCATAGTTTATGTTGGGGCGGAGGTTGGGCACCTTTTGATGCTAACAAAAGCCCAAAATTTACACGAACAAATAAAAGTTAACCAATTAACATAAAAATATTTTTCTTTACACACCACATTTACTCTTGCTAGATACAAGTCCTTTTACAGCATATCGAACGCACCCTTAAATGTACGTTCACTCATTCTTTCAACACTGATCTTTTTCCGATGAGTCGACACTTCGCCATTTACTGTTTTTGTCTCAGTCTTTTTTTAAGAAAATAGTATCGAACACAGAATTAGCCAGAAGTATTTCGAAAATATACGGCTGGGGAGAGAGAGAACTTTGTACCAAGGGGGCTTGATTTTGGCTTTATGATTATGTAAATTAAAAACGAGTTAGGTGACTGATCGTTTTCTTTTATTTAACGGTAACCGGCATGGTACGATTCATCTATGCAAAAACTCTTGTGTCAAGTAAGATCAGAGCCACCTGAATTGTAACCCTTACATCAAGGGGTAAGAAAAATGCATAAGTTCCTTTGTCCTTAACTCCAAACGAAAAAAGAGAAAAGTGACGAAAATACTTTCGCCCCCAGTTCCAATTCTAAAGATTCTTGACTTCGGCTCTGACGCGCAATGGATTAGGAAACCAAGAACAACACTCAGAAACCAGGTCAGAGTACAGGTACAGAGAATGACATTACTTGGTCTGACATAGGGTTAGGATATAGAGAACTGGGTCCAAGGATCCGATCAAGATTTCTGCGCCACGTAAATATTTTGATAATTTTCAGCCCCTATTTTACGAAAACGGGTTTAACGCGAGGCCCTCTATTCTGTAAAAAGTACCAATGCGTGTTAAAAAGAAAAAGTGAAATTGTTCTCTTCTTACCAATAAGACAACCACCAGTCCGCCAGCATTGATATTACCTGAAGGAAGAATTCGAAAAATGGCAGCGAATTTAAGAGCCTGAATTTCGTTAATACTGAAATGCCTACCACTAACGTCTAATCTGCACATGTAGATCGTCATTCTCAGTTGAGTGTTTCAATTCAAAATGATTGCGAGATGAATCTGAACCGTTTCAAATCCGATTTTACTAAAGAGTGTACCACGGCCGATACATGTTGCAAAAGGAGTTCAAAAGCCTGTTGGACTCATTTAGACAAGTTTACCCTCAACCCTGCGTATGAATGTACAAAGATATATGCAGGAAAATGATGCTAAAAACACAATTTGGGTTTAATTTATCTCCAGATTGAGACTAGTCCGTTGAAAAGCCCCTTTGCCGTTTACTACAGAGCATATAATGAACTCAAAACTGAATGTTCCATACCTGACAGAGAGCAAGCAAGAAAATAACAACAAACGCAGTTCCTAAATTGTGTAAAGCACGGAAATATGCCAGATACGTCTTAGGACTGACCGCTCCTTCTTGTTTCTCTTCTCCTGGAAGTAGATTGTCGTCCTGTAGAAGAAGCATGGTGAACATGATGTATTCAATTTAAAACCGCTGAATTTAAAGAAGTCAATTTAAAGCAAGTTCCCTAATATCATAAACGGTACCTGCGCGTGTACATTTGCTAAACGAAAATTTAACTACATCCTTCTTTTCCATATTTGCATTAAAAAAAAAACTAAAAGCACAAATTTTTGGCCCGAGTGACGGACACTCTGATGATTATGTGGTGAGAGTTGTCGTAGCTACTCAACCCTCAATCCTTTAATACCAAAGCTAACCCTTATGAGGATACCGTGACAGTAGCTGTCTTTCTCTATTTAATTCACACAGTGTATCTCAATGGTACAGGCGAACCTGTATTAAGCGGCATCGTATTAGGCGGTCATCCTGTAGTAAGCGGTCAGTTCTCAAAGTCCCGAAAATTTCCCCCGAAATCACTGTAATTTTCACCTCTACTTAGCGGTCACTTCTATTAAGCGGTCGTGGTCACCCTTTACTGAGTTCCAACGGACTGCCCTCTACCATATAGAACGCTCACGTAAAGCGGAACCACTACAGCTAGATTTAAATTTAAGTGGCTGTTTATTGCTTTGGTGAGTTCTTTAACCCTACATAAAGTCAATTTAAAATAAAAATCGCATCTCTTCGATTGCTATATTACTTTTAAAACTGATTTTGCACAATATAAGTGAGCATCATGATGTACTTTAAAAGATGTGAACGGGAAGGAATAGCGATCAAAGACTTACGTAAGCAGAAAATGTTGTGGCAGCAGACACAATGGAAAAATTACTGTCAGCAATTTTACTTAGGCGATGGCATGGGAAGCTTTCCTGTCGACTTAGCTGCCGAGCAACCATCAGCCTTTCAGCATCTTTTGCTTCCACTTCACGACCTGCCTCTGTTTCAGGATTCATCAAACATTCCATAATGTTTGCACTTCCTTTACATAAAGAGAGTTCTTTATAGGGTCCTTTATTGACTACTTTTCCCTTTAAATTAAAAAACCGAAAACAAAAGTTATCAACGATGATGCATTTGGGAAGAAAGTGACGTAGTTTCACTCATTCCCCCGGGAAGATACCAACCAAAGGCAGCCATATCTGAAGTGGAGTTCGCACGCTCTTTCAACTGAGCTATAGAGGAATTGTTCGTGGGCCAGACTATGTGCAGCGTAGTGTAAAGTGCATTACTCGTACTAACTGTAGAAGAAGAGGAATGTACCATTATTGCGCCCTTCCAAAATACAGTCATGCACATAAATGTGTCATTATTGAAACTTCAAATTATCAGCTCAACTGACTAAACGTTTTGATTTTTAACGAATTTGTTAAACTTAGGATTTTTAACTCACTCTATTTGATTCAGGTTTAATGTTTCTTCCTCCGTAATTAAACGTTACGAAACGTAACAGCTGATGTATTACCTTATCTAAAACGATTATATCATCTGCTTCTCCAATGTGCTGCAGTTGGTGAGTTACTAAGATGCGTGGCTTCTTTGCCAAATATCCACAGATGCACCTTAATAAAAACACGGGCAGTCATGCTACTATAGCTAGTATCCACAGTCCAAAAACGATGATGACTGTTTCTCAACAGGTTGGATGTGACATTTAAAAAACACACACATACACACACACAAGCTGCTTTGATGAAAAATTCAAATGAGAACTTACTCCGTTCTTTCGCGAATTTCTGAGAAATTTTCGATTTTTGATAACCTTCGCAGTGCTAAGGGCATTAATTGATCAAAAATTTTGAAACTTCACCAAAAATTCTGTTCTCTAGCACAATTTAGCTTGCTTATATTGAAAGAAGAATAAATGATCACTGTTCGTAATCAGTGACCGTAGTACCTTTTTCACAGGTTTCTTTCGAGAGGTCACATGAGTGCTGGCTGCAAAGGAGATTGGCCACAGTAGTCATTCCTTTTTGTAACATTTGATTGGCCAAATTCTTTTAAATTTTTTATTCTACTGGGTTGGCTAAGCAGGTGAAAGTTCTTTATATCTTCTTACTTTTCAAATAAGTGTCGACCGACGTCAGCATCTACAGCACTCAGTGGATCATCCATCAAATAAATGTCTGCGTCGGCATACACTGCTCTGAGAGAAAAAAAATCCTACTCAACTGCGTGGTCTTTCACATTTTCACATGTTTTAATGATTTAATTATTTCAGCTGAACACTATAATCTGTATATCTGCCATATTCTTCCGATAATTAACATGCTTTCTTGATCTTTTTCGTGCCACTCCTCAAAATTGTAATAACTGTAAGTGGCCGTTTAATATCCTCACAAGAAAGTCCCAACAGATTGCAGATTACATCGATCTTGAGCCAAAGGTCTTTTCTCCTCAGTGAATACCTGGCATTCGCATTCTGTTGACGCTTTCTATGGACAGAGGTACTGCAGCAGTGCGCCCATAGATGGTTTAGTTCCCGCGACCTTTTGATAGCGTAACATACGTCATACCTTGCCAAGTTGACCCTTGCCCTTTGACCTCCACTCAGTGACACTCCTCGTTCCCCCACAAATGTCATGTCACCATCTGGGAGCAATTCAATATCCTAAATAACATGGGATGATAAAAAACATTAAAAATATCGTATCAAGCCATTGCAACTTCAAAATCGACAAACTTTTGATGGAATCGAGCTTGAGATCTTCTGAAATGAACCAACCAGACAAAAAAAATTCAGTAAAATGGAAAAGATATGATATTCAAAACAAATAGAAAAAAATAACTTTTTTTGAAAACCAACTGCATGCAATACATGTACCTTATCCAAAGCACAAGCTTTAGTAACTTCTTTAAATTTGTCCTCATCATAGTTCTGCCCAAAGAGTATGTTCTGGCGCAGTGAGCCATTATATACCCAAGCCTGTTGTGAAGAGTAGCCAATTTTTCCTTTTACTGTTATAGAGCCCTCAGTCAAGGGAAGTTCACCCAGTATTACCATCAGCAGGGAGGACTAATTGAAAAAGGTAAATGTCAAGAAACGATTAGTACTGATCAAAAAACCTAACTGATAAATAACATTATGTTACAAGCACAGCCTATACAGTTGAGGTATATAATTACATAATCTTCAGAGGAGGAATCAGGGTTTTTTCGGCACCCCCCAACGAGGACATCGTGCCATACAAAACCGGGCACATGTATGGGGCATGTGCCAGCTGCATTTAACACTTTAGGATGAGAAGAAAATTAAGGGATCGTAATAAAGGGATTGAGAAGAGTTTGAATTATAAAAAAAACTATTGAATTAATACCTTGCCAGATCCAACAGCACCAATCACTCCCAGAAGTTCACCCTACATCAAGATAAAATGTATATAATTTACCAACTCTGGGGGGACCACTTTTTAAACAAAGTCGAACTCTTATTCAACTAAACTGCGCTCTGAACAATCTTACGTCAAGCAGAAAATACTCAAACGTTAAGTCTAACTTTTTGTGAAACTGTCAGTAGGACTTACATCTAACGCTACAAGAAGAATCGATTTAATGACTTCAAAAAACCCACAAGAACTTTCGAACTCCATCGATCGTCAAAAACTGCAGCCTAAATTAGACTGTTTCCGTAAGTGACCCTGGATGTCCAAACCCACACTTAAACACTTAGGACAGTTTAAATACATACACTTGACACTTTGAAGGAAACGTTTTCCAAAGTTGGGGATTGTAAGTTCTGAAAATGAAACCATAGATTACAATGAAGAACAACATGCTCAAATAAGTTTTAAGAGAAATATGTGAAACAATTCACGATAAGCTGTCCACGAGCAAGTGATTAAAAATAGCCTCGGATAGCGTGAGACCTACTAGACAAGAAAATAATTGAGTATTCAATTCAGTCATTCTTCTCAATATTCTGATTAAGAGTAACTACAAATGTTACTTTTGGCTTTAAAGACCGTAGATAATTCAGTTGATATTTTTTTTTGTCCTTATACCTTATTCCAAAGAGCTTTGATATTTTTGGCAGCAACATGGCAGTTTTCCAGTTTAGGTCTCAATTTTGAGGTTACAAGACCCTCTGATTGCATCTCATCCATAAGCAGAATATCCTTCAAAGTAATAATGGTATTTTTTTCATTACTTGTCAGTATTGTACACCTACTCTGGACATTTAATGATGTTGGATTTGTCTGTACTGAGTTAAACTGTTCGGTCAAGAACAAATGAGAACTAAAAAAATTAAGAATGAACTATTCATGTCCTTTCCACGCTTTAATATGTGTAAATTAGCCAATTAGATAAGAACGACTCAACAAACGAACTAAGATTTCATGTCGTTTTATGCAAACCTATAATTATTGAAAATCTATTTTCAATAAATTGCTATATATAAAAATCAAATTTTAGCTTTCAATACCATAGGTGCGGTTGGTCAAGACATGCAGATTTTATTTGAAATAGAATAAATTTGAAATGAAATTATCATTAGACACCTCCATCCTTTTTATTGACACTCGGCATTCATTCAACAGAGTGATTGCTATTGGAAACTGCAGGGCCATTACAACTCGCATGATGTTGAACAGAGATATGCAGGTGAATACTGTTTGTGCCTTTAAAACTTCCCCAGTCAGGACATAGGTCATAAACGTCACAAAACTAATAACAACTGATGAGCTAAAGAAAAATGACTGGAAGGCTCCTTGAATGAAACTCAGCTTCAGAAACCACTTAAGTTCACTTCTGCAAGTAGAAAACAAATTGAGATGACATTGCTTAATACTCCTTACAACTATTACTAAAATGCAAGCAACAAATAGGCAAATAATTACAAGCAGTAGACAGATAAAATCAAATAATTTGGCTTCTCTGCAGGTAGCAAGAATAAAACATCATTTTCTTTCTCTCCATATAAAGTTGGGAAGTTTTTGCTACGATTCATCAAATTCATCAGGATTCAACAGGAATTTAGGGTGCGTGCTTCATATTCTTCATTTCGTATGTTCCCATCTGCAAGGGTCTTAGAAAGAGAACTTTCTACAACTGCACTTCACGAGGGAGCTCATAAAGCACATTACTGATAAGTCACTTGCACATCCTGACTACTTACGTCATACAACATTTCCCCAAATAAATATGTTTATTTAGGGAGACTATACATGAAATGAAAAGAGGCAGATTTACCAATTAAATGTTCTAGTTCTTAGAAGACTTGTTATTTCAAATTTTCTATAGAAATCCAGGGCAGGAAACTTACTTTCGTATTTGTCTGATCCAATTTGAAAATGAATCTTCCCATGTGTACATTTTTATGACACGCATTCCAGCTATAATTTCATTCATAACTTTCACCCGTTCATCCATCCAGTGTATTGCTTTTGTCCTAGAAGTACAATTAGAGAAAATAAATCTCACGACTTCCTCTAGGCAACTTACTGAGTACAACACTAGAGAAGCCCTGCAAACTATCTTCCATAATTCTCTGCTATTTTTATGTTTTCACTGAATATCATGCTTTTCTAATCCTTTAAATAATTTCAAAAAGTTTTCCAGGTACGTAAAATTTCACGTATTGAGTCAACTACTACCTTTACTTTAATGGGACACATTACATATTAGACTCACCACTTTATGGGACTCATTAAATTATTCCTTGGGGAATAACTTAATCCCCTCCTACATGCTACGCCTGACATCGAATAATGAATAATAATGATCAATAATGATTTAGCGGTAGACAATCCACGAGGTGGCTCTTTCTGTCCACTGTTTCCAGGTCGAATAAGAATTTGGAATGTTGGTTTTAGCGGATAGAGGAAATCTGGAAAAACCCTTAGCGCAAGGACTAGAACCAACAGCAAACTCAGGTCCAGGAATCTAACCCAGGCCACAGTAGTGGGGGGCGAGCGCACAAAGTTTGCTCAGATTTCTACGATCGATCTTCGAGGAGGTTTGCTATGCGTCTGGATCTGCATGGTTCAAGACTAATAGAAGCAGAGGTTGAGGGTAGCTTATTTTGTCTACAATCTTCTTGGGCCTTTTAGAGAAGGATCTTGTTGATCTCTACTGATGGAGGCTGTTTCTTCTTTAGTGTTTCCTGGAGTGCGATCGTTCAGAAGAACATCATCTAGGTGTCGCCTCCAAGTCCGTCCATCGTCCAACTGAAGCAGTACGAGGTGCTGTCTGTTTTATCACTAATGAATAAAAGGTTAAGTTTCTAAAGAAACTGTGGTGCTGCGTTGCGTGGGTTGATACCGCCTAATGATACCGCTCATTGGTACCGTGATTCGCAGCTTTCCGAACTGCGTGGATGTAGGCAGTTCGGAAAGCCGCAAAACTCCAGAACAAAAATTCATCTTCCAAATCGGCACTCTTTATCGCCACGGTATCAACGAGCGCTTTTCATTCAACTAATTTATTCTTGTTTTCTCGTCACCATATTCCCACCAATAGCATAGCTCCATTTTCTGCGAATAAACCCACAAAATTCCCCAATCGCTCTGATGAAGGGCTAACGCTCGAAACGTCAGCCTTTAAACTCTTTACGGTGACCAATTTACGCTTTCAACTCATTTGATAACACCAAATAACCCTGTTATATCACTAGTCTGCCAGGTTGCCACTTGCGACTGGATAAATGGTCTTGTGTCAATACAATGTCACCTGTAGCCACATCTCCGAACTTGGCCTGCATGTCATGATTGTATTTCATCTTGTCTTGTTGGCAGGCCACGTAATTAGCAAGATCAGGCCATGTCAAAGACAAGCGGGTTCAGAGTTCTCTTCCCAAGAAGAGCTTGGCAGGTGATGTTCCTTTAGTGGCACGTGAATTGGTACTATACGATATTAGAAATCTGGAAATTCGCTGCTCCAGAGAGCTGTCAGGATCAGTGATATTTCTGTGTAGTCAAATTCTGCACGCTGTTGTCGGAAACGAACGCTGCTTGAATGATGAAGATTTCTCAACTTTATTGTCTATTTACAGACTGTAAGTCTGATCCTATATGAGACTGTTTCTAAGGGGAACATGACCTAGGAATTCGGGCGACTAGACATAAAAATTTGGACGACATGACTCTGGTTTCAGGCAACATTAGCTTGGGAAAGATTTCCGGAAGACTCGACCAGTTACCAATCACTTTTTTTAGTTCGATTGATTGTTCCAGTTGTTTCTTTACCCTCTTTCTCTACCCAGAGGCTTTCCTTAAGCCCTCAAGGGCTTTCCTTGAGCCCTCAGGAGCTTCTCGTTTCTTCATTAAAGATGCTCAAACAGATTCACTGTCTCGTGCAAGAGTGGAATAAAATTTTCATCGCCAATGAAGGAAAAAATGAAAATGCTGTAATACTGAGCTCCATGAAGCACACTTTTTGAAATACACCAACTGTAAATGAAGGCAGTTAGGCTTAGTAGTCTTAGTATCCGGACAAGCCAGACGAAAGAGAAAAATTAAGAGGGAAAGAGAAAGACTCACTTTAACTTGAGACCATAATTAAAAATAATATTAGTAATGATAACATTAAAGCTGGCGACATAATCGCCAAACAAACAAACATACATTAGTCACCAACATTTTTCCACTCATCATAGAGACAAAAATAGTCAAAGCTTGAAGTGCAGTTCAAGTCCCTGCAGTCGTCACAGCAATAACTTAGCTCAAAAGTCACATGTTAGTAAACAATATCCTAAGGAGCTAACCTGAATGAGAAGAGAGTGTTGCCCATTTTAAGCTGCATGGCAGCCAACAACAAGATCAACCCCATCCCAGCCAGAGCTGATGGACCGATTTGCAACCATAGCACCACCAAAACAATAACAGCTATTACTGGACCAATCATTAAGTAATGCAGATTAGGTGCTGTCTGAAAGCAAATTTACGTAAACAAAGTGTAAGAAATATATCCTGATAATCATGGATTTGACTGTGTACAAGATGAAATAAAGTGGAATAACAAAATTCTCATATGCATACACAGATAAAAGACTTGATTTATTTTGGTACATCATTGAAAATACAGTTGAAAATGCATATGTTAATTGTTTATACAAAGTCTTTCAAAGTAAATGTAGTGTGACATGTGTGTCAAGTATAGTTTGACTAATGTCATAGGTTGTGGGTGTGGGTACAAGTAATGGAAAATTATTATAAAAAAATAATAACAAGCACGAAAAGTGAATTTAGAAAAAATAATTAATCTAGAAAAAATTGGAACTTTTCCATCCATGGTGAATCTTTTTACAGCTTTGGCCAAGAAAGTTTAACGATCCGTACGACCTGCACGAATCGTCTAATGTAATCAAAAGTCGCAGGGTCAAAGAAGCTATCTATATAAGACTTCATCCCAACAGCATCAATAGGGATAGTGGAATCGAAATTCCCGAAGTTTCGATACCCACGATCAAACAACACAACAGCCGATCTATATGGTCCTATGAGGGAACACCATCTAACAACCGGAATAATAACGAGGATCGAAATGCACCAATAGCAGCGAACCAACGTTCTACAAAATTAATGGCGAAACGTAAGCAATCTACCTTATCGCCTAACGTAAGACTAGCAGTATTGCAGTCGAAACGTCACGATCTACATCCAAAGTGACTCCGTCATGAGACAAACGAATAAGGTTCATCTAGTTCATCTTCTATCTTACACCACGATGAACAAGAACCACATACTTTATTACACTGAACAAGAGTATTCTTCGCTCCAAAGGTACCGCGCGAATTGCACAAACAAGAATAGTATCCCTCGTTCTAAAGGCACGGCGCGCAGTGCACAAATGGCAAGGGTATATTCTTCGTTACACTAAAAAGCACCACGCAAAGTGCACAAACAACAAGTGCATTCCGCGTTCTACCAAAACGCACTCCGCGAAGTACACAACCAATAAGAGTATTACCTCCTTCTTAAAGTAAAGTAAAGTCTACTAAAAGCACCACCCGAAGTACACAAAAAGCAAATCTGCACTCCTCTTGTGATGTTGAATGCAAATAGGACCCGAACTTAGTGTTGATTGTGTATTGTTAACTTGAGAAGAATTAATTTTGATCACTTTTCGTTATGTAATGTTATGTAAGTAGCAGTATAAAGATATTCAGTTGTCCAAGTTCTTTAGGTTATGTTTAGTAAAGTCAGTTAGCAGTTGCGCATCTAGCGATAAACGTTTTTTTAACGTTCTTTTAAAACGTTGTTTTTTCGCTTAAACGCCACGTGCACCTCTAATGCGTAGTTATCTCGAACTAGCGCGGGAATCTTCGTCCCCTTTTAATTTGGTCAGACAGTCATAGCTAGCGAACACATACAGGGTTCGAGAAGAGGGCGAAACACTCTTTCTCAGCTGCCGTTGTTTATTGTCAGAAACGTTTTCTTTTATTAAACTATAAGGGGCGATCTTTTGACTCAGGAATAACGCCTTATAGAATTGAAAGTAGCTCTCATTTTTCTGTCTAAGACCCGAATATTAAATGTTGCAATTGCGTAATTTTGCCGATTCTGACAGTTGACTACTTCAATTGTTATTTTACACCGATACTTGGAATGAAATAGTGCAAAAAGATGGTAGGTTCCGAGTTTTTTCTGGTGATCTTTGAGCCCTCATTTGAAACTTTAGACGAGCAAATTAGGAATTCCTCGTTTTAAGAGCACCGCACAAAGTGCACAAACAAGAAGTATTCTTCGTTATATTAAAAAAACGCTGTGGCTAAATGCCCGGCAGCCGGGCACGGTCTCAAATAGACTAAATGCCTTGCAGTCTCAAATTTACACAGAATTTCCCTGAAAAGGTTACTCCAAACTTCCTAAGAATATCAGATGTTTGTTAAGAAATGTCCAGCAATTCCAAAAATTAATTTGTTCTTTTAGTAGACAAATTCTGCGAGCTAAAAGATAAATATTTGTTCTAGAGTTTTGCGGCTTTCCGAACTGCCTTGATGTAGGGAAAGGCCGCAAACTGCCATATGCTACTTAAAATAGTTAGGGACCTTAAAGTGTCTAGCGACTGGTTTGGATGCGTCGCGGAAATGTTCTCGAAATCAGTCACCTAGTCGTCTTCCGGTTTCACCAATATAACTTTTTGCGATTAGTGCAAGTTATGTAGTAGATGACATTGACAGAAGTGCACGTAAAATGATCAGTGATCCTAATGGATCTCTTGAGTCCAGACATTTTCTCTACGTTGTTAATGAAAGGACAAGTTTTGCATCGTGGGCGAGCGCATTTGAAAATTCCAGGTTGTTCATTACTTTGAATGAACTTCTGACCAAAAAAGTTGCGAAAAGATGGAACCAGTGTCTAAATCGTTTTGAAGTAATTTAAAGTTATAAATAGGTTTTCATTCATGCAGTTAATTCTATCATTCTAAAACTGATCGCTTCACTCTTTACGGTTGCCAATTTACGTTTTAAACTCAGTTGATAATACTTAATTACCCTGTTAAGCTTTTTGTGGTTTTCTTTACAAATGTTCCTCCACAGGGGTTTAACAACTTATTCATGACTGCTTTCCAAAAGTGCACATTTGTGAATAACAATAATTTATAAAATAATTCAAATAGTACGCGTGCTCTGATTGGCCACAAAACCATTTTACATGAGCGTATGTAAACACGGTTTTCATACTGAATCTTCTTGCGGAGTTCTCCATGCTATTTATTTAGCAGTAACTCAGTTTCTTTAAGTTTGTTGCTTCGCGTCGTGGTTTCCTACGCTTATCTCGTGTTCTCCCAACCTCCCGCGTGTTTACATCAGGCTATGTAAACACGGACACCATTTTACATTTCTTCAATGTAACTAGATTAATGAACGGCCAATTTCATCTGAAATGAATCTTCAGTGATTGGAATATTTTTAAGTGGCAAGAGGGGGAATGCAACCTTTTTCTTGAGCAAGAAATGCTTTCAAACTAATTTGTTGTGAATTATATAATAATACTTTTTCTCTTTTGTGAAATATATAATTTCTTCCTTCAAATTACATATATATATATCACTTTTTTACTGATCACTGATGACATGAGTGCACACCCACAATTCATGCACTGTACCCATCACCCACAACCCAAAACAATTAGTCAAACTATTTTTTTACTATTTTAGTAAAATAGTCTTACTATTGTTGGCTGTTTTACATGTACATACCCAATCAAATTTCTGAGTATCACTGGATATCAGGTTTACAATGTTACCAGTAGTTGTACCATGAAGGGCAGCAGTGCTAAGTTTAAGAGACTGATATATAAAATGTATAGTTAAAAAAGAGAAGAGCTGATAGTTTAATCACAAATAAATCATTGAGAGAAACTGAGCAAAGGCCCTTTGGATCAACAACTACACTAGACCTCAGTGCACTCACCTTTCTATATACAAGACCAGTGCAAGCCACTCTTATCCTCATGCCATAAACTTGAGACATGAAGGTGAAAGGGGCATTGAACATACTTGACATCAGAGAGCACAAAATTAAACCAGTAGCATAAAGGTAAGCATCTCCTGTTGAGATGGGAGAATCTTCCACAAAATAGCGTATAAGTTGGCCCAAGAAGATAGGTCCAGCTATTTTGAGAATTTCCTGTGGACACATCACAAGGTGTACAGTGTATATTGTGAAAAAATCACCCAAGGTAAACACCAGCAGTATACAGTGTAAATTGGTTATGAGTAAACATTACTAATGAAGCAAATACCATTAGTTGTCAACAGTAGTAATTATGTGCATCAAAAGGAGTCAAACTTACACGCATAAGTGCTACAAGACCTAACAGAGAATAACCAACACCAAAGGTTCTTCTTAATGCTGACAGAAAGCTGGGATATTTTCCTTGCTGGTTAGCTTTATACATTTCCTTTTCCCATTCACTGAAAATCAAAAATTCTAAATCAGACAGGGTGGATAATAATAAGTTCAAACACAAAATCAGACATGACAGGGATTTAAGAAAAAAGATGATCCTATTTTACATTAAATGTTATTTATACATTTCTGAATTTTAGCTTATTTTACTCACTGTTACAAAAGTAAACAATGTCTGCCATTTTTTTACCTGACCTGAGTTACAAAAATATTACAACTTGCTTCATGATACAGGATTAGATCATTTTTCAGTGATATACATAGCATATAGCATCATGATGTTATAAATGGGCAGGTTTCACTTTCTCTTCTCTTGTGAGCAGTGTGTGTACTTTGAAGGTTGTTAAAATAATGACTAAGTACCCATCTCTAATAACTTTGTGACTGTGTACCGTTCTAATGCATCTGTAACTGTCTCAGTTTGTTCTCCTTCCAAGATGGCGTATAGATCTTTGGCTTCCAGTGGTTGCTTTGATCCCTTTTTGAGGAGGCTGTTTAACCACCTTTTAATTTATAAACAACAATTTACCACATAAAAGAGAATGCACAAAGAAAAAATCAGAAATAAGATCCTTAGACCTTTCAATTTTCAAAAAGCCTCTGTCAAGCTAGCACCATCACCCTGTTGACTTTCAAAATTGCAAATTCTATTGCAGTCCATCCTAATAAAAAAAAAAAATGTCTACTAAAATTGCTATTGGCAAAAAAATAACTAGCATGGGTATGGGCATTTTCAGTTTCAAGCATACCCTTAGTAATTTGTTCTATTAAGCTGCAAAATTCCAGATTCCCTACTATCATGGTTGATTTATTTGGCTTCATGTGGCATCTCTGTTGATGATGATTAAAGAGATGTTTGCTTTGCTAACATCTATTGGGCAGGCATGAACTTCAAATATGTTTGATATAATTTCACCTCTGTAGCACGTTTTTCCTGTAGAACTCTATTTATTAGAAATTCTCTTTAAAATGGTCATCTAGCTATTTCTGGAAGGTGATCATTGTAAACAAATGTTTGATTGGAATGGGTAAATATACATCAAATCTCCAGCAATAAAAGTTCTCACCACATTGTAATATATTTAGACAAGAATGAAGCACAAGCCATGGGCGATGGAAGAATTCCAGGATCACTCTTTCTTCTGTCTTCCTCTTTCAGCATTGGTTCTTTTTCATCTCCTGCTTTCTTCATTCCGTCTGGTGAATCTGCATCATCAGTCAGGTATACAATACTCCCAGCTACTGTCATCTTCTCACTGAGCATTTCTAGGTCATCCATCCTAGAACCCAGTTTCAAAATTGACATGCTATGACATATTTTCATTACAATTGTCCTACACAAAAACCCTACACTAAGACCCTTGATCTACCAGTTATAAGTTAAGACAGGGAGTCCACATATTGAATATGTTTTTGTTTTAATTATTTTGAAGAGTTTGATCTTCTGTGCATTGCAGTGACATATGTTTTTGTCTATATTCTTAAATTTAGAAAAAGACACAGACAATTAAAGAATAATTGATCTTGCCCTGTTACGATGGATGTCATGAGACTTATGAAGCAGAAAGAACATTCCTGACAACCTTACAGATGAGGTCTTTGTTTGATTAGCAATGTAAACTCCATTCCTTCAATTTCAGCATGATTTAAACGTTTCGTTTCTTCGTCTATAATTTGGGATTTAGCCTTTTATAGTTATTACTTCTCCTTTAGCAAGTTTATGATTGAATATAACTGAATTTGCTGGATATAAATCTGATCTATGTCTTCCGTGACAACTAAAGGTTATTCACTACTCAGGCGACAACTGGACAAAAGGAGATAGTGAATAATTAATCCTACCGTGTATGTTCATCTATCATTTTTCTTTTATTTCTTGAAATAAAAGTAGTGGATTTTTCAGCCATTTGAGCTCAGTATCTGTTTGCACACTCCTTTACTAGACTTCAAGGAACCAGGATATTTTCCATGGTTGAAAGTTAATAACCTTCATTCAGATGTTTGAAATGCACGCTCAAAACATTCGGTGAAGTAGCTTGTCCATATTCTGCAAGTTATGTAGTTTACCAACTAAAACCTTCCCCTCGAGAACAAGAGCTCGTAACTGACTAACCTTTATTCTTGACTGCCGTACAAAACCTTCTCAACTATTTTGAAAACCTGTTTCAAAAAAATTGGAGTGCCACAGATGTCATTTGACATCAAGTGAAACAAATGTAAGCGCTGCATTACCCGAGGGTTTTAGGGTTGCCAGCGGTTACACGCGTTTTGTTATCACGCAATATTCAGTGGATCACAAACTTCTTTCAGTCCTGGAGCTGGTACATGCTCTCTAGGGAATATACAGTTTATATTCTCATAGTGCATTTATGCGATAAGCTGATTCATACACAAATTTCGTTTAGTTTTTACTTAGGAACTACTGGAGAACAGACGGTTAGTGCAGCATGGGTGCTGCACTAACTGCAGACGTAACACGCTAAATCACCATCCTTTTCCATCTTTAGGAAGGTGTTTTTTACTTTTGACTGCAAAGCATGAGAAACTGGTTGAGCTTTGTGAAATTTGGCCCCATTACTTTCACTTCATACGAAAGGCTCACCAGTGTAACATCCGAGCTCGGGCTTAAATATGTCGTCATACTACTGCAGAACAGACTCCAAGGAAAGGTTTCCTTGAGGTGCAGAAGCAAAGGGTGTTGTAGAAAGTATGGTGCTAGTATAATTCAACCCTGGCAAGTTTTCCAATCAATTTTTATGTCCATGAGCCAGTTCTGTCCAAACAAAGTAAAGATACCGCTTGTACCACTAGGAATGGCAGGGAGTGTTGTAATCCTAAATTCTCTACTTCCACAAAGGCTTCCCCTAAAGGACGTAAAGTTTTACCTATATAGGTAGACAGCACCGCATTGGTTGGCTTCATTTCAACATCAGGACAAATCTCTTTGAAGAAATTTATTGGTGCCAGAGATAGAGCACATCCAGTGTCTAACTGCATAAAACAATCATTGCTGTTAATTTTTAACGGAACAGAAATTTCTGACCTGGATATCGCATTCACATCATATACCACATTCGATTTCGTCTCCTACAGACAACGGTTCTTTGAGTAACTTCTCATTATTCACAGCATTTACTCCATTCTTTTTGCAAGCACGAGCAATACGTCCTCTTGTGTTACAGCTGCGACAAACAACATTTCTAAATTTACATTTGGATCTCATGTTTTCAGAATTTCCATATAAAAACAATTATAATACAAATTCGACTGGTGAGGCCCGGGCGAAGTTGGACGAGCACTTCGGCGTAACGGAGGAGGAGGAACCCGAGAATTTCCACCAGGGGATGGCGAATCAGTATAATTCTTGGAACTAGCGGGCGGATTATTGGAAACGGAATTTACAGGTTGGAGCAATTATGGATGAACTTTTACGCTCTCTTTAGCCGCAGTTTCACCCGCAATAGCCACTTTCAAAGCTTCCTGGAACGTGCGATCTTCGCTTAAGAGCTTTTAAGGGGTTTCTGGATTTCGAATACCGCTTATAAACTGGTCTCGAAGAGATTGGTCTAGGTATTCCCCCGAAATTAAAAGTTGATGCCAGTTGTCTTAGGCGAGCGCTGTAAACAGAGACGCTTCAGTTTTCTTCTTGACAGCAGCGATGAAATCTATAAGATTCTGCGACCTTCAGTCGTTTAAGTTTAAAATGGTGTTGTAGTAACTCACATAACTGCTCGATCGTTTTGTCTTTCGGATTTGCCGGTGTCATAGCGGATTTGGACCCCCCACGGATTTGGACCCAAACCAAACTTTCCTTTTAAGCATCCTTTGTATCATATTTGGTAACTAATTCTATTTACAAGCTTTTTTGTCGATGTTCTTTTCAATCACAACACAACATTTCCTCAATAAAGGTAAAAAAAACAACAACAACAGTCATTTCGTTCCAATTCTACCGCATTCATTATAGCGAGTCGAACTGTATACGCAAGAATTAGATGTGAACAAACTACTGCATTCGAATTATTGAAATTGTTGCAATAAATCTTTGCTTCTTCTGATGCGAATCAACATTGGTACAAAACGTCATAAAAATAGCGGAGACTATTGCGTCCAGTCACAAAAATAACTCAGTCTGATTTTCTAAAATAATAACGTTAAACTTTAATAACGTTAAACGTTTAACGTTTAAACGTTAATAAAGTTTTTGAACAAGAACGAAGAAACTACTCATATTACAAGTCTTTCGTAAAGCCTATGATGAGTAAAAATGTTTCTATTCTGAACTATTGGAACTCTCAGCTTATTTTCAGATGCAAATTAACGTTAATGTCAACGTTTTAACAAAAGTGGAGACTATTACATCGAACTCAATCTTATTTTCTAATTTTAACAATCATTAACTGTTGAGGGATCCGAAAGACGTCTAGAGTCTGGCAATCTGCAGATAATGCAAAGCCACTCGTCCTCCGAGGCAGTCTTAAATCCCTCGCACTGTACCATGTCGTCCCAACACTTGGGCATTGAACAATGACAAAATAAATTAGTGTCACAAGTTTGTTTCTTATTGAATCTAACGGTGTTCGACTATCGCGGAAAAGGTTCAAAAACGACCTCTCTCCAGACATTAAACTAAATTCTTACCCATTTTCCCTTGGTCAAAAGAAACATCCGACGGGATGCCAGTTCGTATGCATTAACGATAAGCATGTTTTGAATTGAAAACATACTTTAGTACGCTCTGGAACGTAAAGTATCATCCATTTTTATTAGAACGTTAAGGATGATGTTTTCACTCAGTTTTGTTGGGGGGGTCCAAATCCGCGGAGGGGGTCAAATCCGCTGGGACACCGGACTGCACAAATTACGAAGGACTGTAAGATTGTAAGTCTTCCAGCCAATTACTGAAATCAATACGGCGACCTCTTTATTTTCCGCCGCAGCGGTGATTGCTGCGGATGCATCGATAGGAACAATTCCAATTTTATTAGCAACAAAGAACTGATCGAGTCTTTCTGCATAAACTGTAAAAGTCTCGGCCGAAAGGTCAAACTCCCTAGCAGCACCCAACAACTCCGAAGCCATGGTGGCGGCGGCAAAGACCACGTGCGCGAATACACGAAACCGCAAAGCAATGCTAGAAGGAATCTTACGTTGTACAAGTGACCCAGGAAGTAAACGACATGGAACCTATCCCATCCTTATCGCTAAATGTTTTATCCGAGTAATAATGACAAATGCATGAACTGCGAAACACAACTTCGTTTATTTCTGCCTTCTAGTTGCACGTGCGTATATTAACTCAATGACGTGACAACACCTCTTTATGTAACCCATAAAGGGGTAAGTTTCTAAAGAAACTGTGGTGCTGCGTCGGTGGGAGAGTATAGCAGGTAATTTAGTGTTAACAACTGGGTTGAAAACGTAAATTAGCCACCGTAAAGGGTAAAAAAGCTGACGTTTCGAGCGTTAGCCCTTCGTCAGAGCGATTAGAGGAATTGTGGGTTGTGTGTGGATATATATGTAGGAAGTGGAGCTACGCCATTGGTGGGAATGTGGTGACGAGAAAACAGGAATAAATTAGTTGAATGAAAAGGGGTCGTTGATTCCGTGGGGATTAAGGGTGCCGATTTGGAATATAAATTTTTGTTCT